GTGTAATGTAATTTTGTTTCCTGTAATTCAGGCTGTCCTCGATTTTTCCTGTATCCTCTGACATTCCACAACAATACTGTCATATGATTGACTAGCAATACAGCAGCAACAGGAAACTAGGTGACTATGGGCTAAGGTGATTATTAAAGCCTTCATGTGGAGGTAGCAGTTAATCAGTAGTAAGAAATTTGTGGGTAACTGTAGATGTAGACTGTAGGACAGGAGTGGATGTACAGGGTTACAGGTTGATAAGAATGCGAGGGGGAGAGTTAATGTCCATCGCTAGTTTTACCTTTTCAGTATAATCCAATACGACTGCAGGTATTTTTGTAGACAAGGAAGCAGCAGATGGCATGGTACAAAAGGCAGAGGCAGAGAAAATAGAGAGAGGAGAGATATTGGTAACTGGTAAAACGGGAAGACGGAAAGAGGATAGTGGAGTCTCAAGATGAAGGAATTTGGGTTGTAATGGGAGGAGGTAGGGGCAGTATGTGGAGGAGGATGTTTATCTGTTACAGAAGTAGGGGTAAGGGGGCAATACAAAGAGATAAGTAAAGTATGAAGGAACAATGGGCTGGTAAGGAGGTTTGGATCTAGTTGAAAACCCAGTTGGGAAAGCCTGTGTAGGGAAAGAAACATGGGAAATGAAAGGGATAAGTATGAAGAATGCATACATTCAGGAATGTTAGAGGTAAGGACTTCATAAGGGTTGGACACAGGGGTGAGTGTGGGAGAGGGTACAGTGATTGTGGGAGAGGGTACAAGGACTTCCGGGCACTGAGCAGCTCTGGAGTAGGAGAGCTGTGGAAGTCTTTCTTGGAGACAAAGTTGAGTCACTACCATTGTGCATGATAGAGTTTCCATTTCCGAGACAGCATATTTCGTGCTTTTGTAAGAAAACCGGACAACAGCAGGAATGTGCAGGGTGAACTTCTTCATAGTTATGGCAAGTAGGTGGGTGGCTGCAGGATGTATCATCAGTGGCAATGCAGACAGGGCATTCTGCTGGTGATATACATACAATATTTGGTAGGTTGGCCAAAGTGCCAACAATCTCTGCAATGTTGAGGTGGTGGGATTAATTCCCACAATTGTAAGTGCTGTCCTGCTACATAAACTGGGGCTCAAAGCTCCCTGGAGTTGTAAGTTTGCTTGGTAGTGTTACTTGGATGACATCTCAGACCTCGGAAAGGGTGGATACGAGTTTCGACTTTGGTGATAGGGAGATTCTGAGGCTCAAGTGTTCATGAATATCTGGGCCTCATTGCATTAAGTGTTATTGGACTATATATAATGTGTGGGATGAGAACAGGACAACAGCTAGAATTCTGAAAGGAATGTCTATATGTATATTGTGCTGGGTGTTGTTGATAAGAGCTGATATGTGGAGTCTCAAGTCCCTTGTTCAGCATCCTTCACAGTGGCAATAAATATACCACTCTTGTGGGCATGGACGACCATATTCTGGCCAATATGCCTCATGAGAGCTTTGCTAATGTCATGGTCAGTTGGGTAATCAGTTGTTGTTGGTCAAAGGGAAAAAGAATTTTGTCCAAGACTGTCTGAAATACATTTATAAGGGAAAAGCTTTCCTGGTAGTTTGTTTCTTGTGATACGAGCAAAGGGGAAAGGGGAAACACTTCTGGAGCCAGTAGAGGTCGTTTGGACAATGGCTCAAAGCTACTCTGTCTTATGACAAATGAACAACTTGGAAGTCAATGCAGCATTGTGGAAGCAACCAGGAGTATGGCCAAAGCACTGCAAAGGTCAGAGGAATCAAAGGGGACAGGGTGTACACCAGCACCAGGGTCAGGCAACAAAGGAGTGCTTGAAAGCATCACTAAGTTCCAAGTTGAGTCCAGGGTCATCAACAGATTGTGTAGGATGAAGACTATCCATGCAACATTAGTAATCAAATTTAGCTTCCTATATCTCAACCCACCATAGACTCCAATAAGTAAAGGGTTTAACACTGACAAACAACCCCAGGGTTAATAGAGGTATATGCATGTACCATCAGTGAGCTAAATGGCAGTCACAGGATTGAAGTGGTGCCCACCTACAGATTCTTATCTAGCTCTAGCTGAACACATCGCTCTACCAGGCAGGGAAGAGTGATGCTAGACCAGCCAATATATTCAGTAAGGCCTGCACTGAACCTCCTGTTTGACCTCTATCCTCCTACCAAAGAAGTATTCCTACCATTAGACCACAAACTACCAGTCTGCTTAACTTCCAGGCAAAAGTAAACAAGGAATTTAAGGGTGGCTATGCATGGCAAACACTCAGGACAGTGTTTATTAGACCACTACATGCCATGGCCATCCTGAGGGAGTCAAAGCTCACCCAGTATGACCAAGACTGCAAAGACTGTAATCCCCCTATCCCATAAAGGCCCTGCACCATCATGGGGTCCAGGAGAGTTGAATACCAGCCAGAGATCTGTAAAGAGAACTCAGAACTTACAGACCCATCTTGAATGAAGAGGATATGGGAGACAGATTGCAGAGGAGAAAGGCATGATAGTAGTTATCTGCTAGGATATTGAGACACCAAGATGGATTTGATGTGATAGGATTTATGAACACAGTCTTTGCCTTGAGGGAGAAAAGGGCAAGCCAGGGTGATCAGGATATGCTAGGGTGAAACGACTTACACAAAAATGTGATAGATGGGGAAAAGTCATGGACAAAGTATCTAAAGACTGGTACAAGGGTGTGAAAAATACAAAAACATGAATGGGAGGACCAGTCACTAAGAAAATTCCCAGCAATAGACTCCATGCCAACCTAGTGACTACGCAGTGCCCAAGACAGTGTAGCCCATGGAGCCTGAGAAGGAGCAACAGAGTGCCCAACCAGTGCACGAAATGCTGAGGAATAAGGGATGACATAATGAACATAAATAATGAGGAAACCTACTGGAACACCAGTAGTCCTATCCAAAGTGCCTGCCACTGGCTTGGAGACCAAGAATAGCATAACAGTCATGAAAGAAACCCAGGGCACTGGCAGGAGGCTGAAGAGCACAGCCATGAACTAGTTGGGATGAAAGAACTAATGAAATTTGTGAAAATTCAGAAATTACAGAAGGCTGTGAAGAGATCCATCATTGTAGCTCACTCATGTTAAACTAGGAAAGAGCAAACTCAGGAGATGGAGTCTAGCTAGAACAAGGTCACAAAAGCAATCACTGTTTTACCAGACAAGTGCTGACATTATGTCATTGCAAATTACAGTTTGCATATGCTGTACAATAAATACTTTACCTGTTTCATTGTCTTATTCTTCATCTACAAGGAAAAAATTCCAGTTATGACAACTAATTAAGTATAACAATTTGCCATTTAAACTGTTAAATCTTGTCTTGTCAATTAACTTTGAAATTCATTTAAACTGTTAAATCTTGTCTTGTCAATTAACTTTGAAATTCAATGACTCAATTATGTCAAATATATACAGTATACTGGAGCCATATGAATTTTATACTTTGCCAGTTCCAAGAAAGTACAGTTTGTATACGTTTTAGGTTATGATGAAAATTCAGAATTTATTTTATTTTATTTTTAACATTTAAGCCATCTCCCACCGAGGTAGGGTGACCCAACAAGAAAGATCACTTTCACCATCATTCGCTCAATCATTTTCTTGCCAGAAGTGCAATGACATCACAGTTCAGACGACTCTCCAAACCTTTATATTGCTAAGACACTCATGAGATCGCTGAAATCACTGTCCGTAACTCTTTGCAAGTCTTTCCTTTTTCTTTTGAAAATCTTCTTCTGTGTTTTTCTTTGAAATTCTTCTCTTTCCTTCAGTTTAGCATCAAGATCTTCATTCTCTTGCTTTTCCTCACTGTAAATTAATAAAAAATATAAGTTAAAGTTAAAGGTTAGTGGACGAGTTTGGGAGGGTGTGTAAAGGCAGAAAGTTGAAAGTGAACATAGATAAAAGTAAGGTGATGAGGGTATCAAATGATTTAGATAAAGAAAAACTGGATATCACATTGGAGTGAAGGAGTATGGGAGAAGTGAATGTTTTCAGATATTTGGGAGTTGACTTGTCAGCAGATGGGTTTATGAAGGATGAGGTTAACCACAGAATTGATGAAAAAAAGGTGAGTGATGCGTTGAGGTATCTGTGGAGACAAAAAACGTTATCCTTGGAGGTAAAGAAGGGAATGTATGAAAGTATAGTGGTACCAACACTCTTATATGGGTGTGAAGCTTGGGTTGCAAATGCTGCAGCGAGGAGGCGACTGGAGGCAGTGGAGATGTCCTGTCTAAGGGCAATGTGCGGTGTAAATATTATGCAGAAAATTCGGAGTGTGGAAAGTAGGAGGAGGTGTGGAGTTACTAAAAGTACAGTGGACCCTCGAATTTCATAATCCCTTTTCTGAATGTAAAACTATAGTTATTCTCCATGAAATGTATTTTTTGTTAATATTTTTGGGTGTCTGGAATGGATTAATTTTATTTACATTTTTTCTTATGGGGAATATAAATATAAACAAAACATACAGTCAGAGGGCTGAAGAGGGGTTGTTGAGGTGGTTTGGTCATTTAGAGAGAATGGATCAAAGTAGAATGACTTGGAGAGCGTATAAATCTGTAGGGAAAGAAAGGCGGGGTAGGGGTCGTCCTCAAAAAGGTTGGAGGGAGGAGGTAAGGAGGCTTTGTGGGCGAGGGGCTTGGACTTTCAGCAAGCATGTGTGAGCGTGTTAGATAGGAGTGAATGGAGATGAATGTTTTTTGGGACCTGACGAGCTACTGGAGTGTGAGCAAGGTAATATTTAGTGAAGAGATTCAGGGAAACCGGTTATTTTTATATAGCCAGACCTGAGTGCTGGACATGGGAAGTACAATGCCTGCACTTTAAAGGAGGGGTTTGAGATATTGGCAGTTTGGAGGGTTATGTTATATATCTTTATACATATGCCTCTTATAGGTAGTAGGTTGGTAGACAGCAACCACCCAGGGAGGTACTACCGTCCTGCTAAGTGAGTGTAAAATGTAAGCCTGTAATTGTTTTACATGATGGTAGGATTGCTGGTGTCCTTTTTTCTGTCTCATAAACACGCAAGGTTACAGGTACGTCTTGCTACTTCTACTCACACTTAGGTCACACTACACATACATGTACAAGCATATATATATACACACATCCCTCTGGGTTTTCTTCTATTTTCTTTCTAGTTCTTATTCTTGTTTATTTCCTCTTATCTCCATGGGGAAGTGGAATAGAATTCTTCCTCCGTAAGCCATGCGTGTTGTAAGAGGCAACTAAAATGCCAGGAGCAAGGGGCTAGTAACCTCTTCTCCTGTATATATTACTAAATGTAAAAGGAGAAACTTTCGTTTTTCCTTTTAGGCCACCCCGCCTCGGTGGGATACGGCCGGTGTGTTGAAAGAAAGAAGACATATGCCTCTAAACTGTTGTATCTGGGCACCTCTGCAACGACAGTGATTATGTGTGAGTGAGGCGAAAGTGTTGAATGATGATGAAAGTATTTTCTTTTTGGAGATTTTGTTTCTTTTTTAAAAAAAAAAAAAAAAAGGGTCACCCTGTCTTGCTGGGAGATGCCCGACTTGTTGAAAAAAAAAAGAGTTACACAGAAATGTAAATGAATCTTAACTGCAATATGGACATTGAGTTTTGGGCAATTTACCTACGAAGAAAATTCTAAATAATAACAGACAGCAACAAAGTGAAAATGTTAAATAAACATTTCATATAATGTACATACACAAACATACAGAGACATTCACACACCCAAACTTAGAAATACAAAGATGCAAGACAGATACCTGGACATATCTATTAGACAAAGTCATTGAAGAAAACAAAAATAAAGGAGTGAATGGAAAATATCATGAATATTATATATCTAAGTAATCTTGTATAAAGATTACACATGGCATAACTTGGTCTGTATTACACAGACTGATCACGAATAAGTAATGCACTGTCCCTGGACAGAAAAAGGCCAATATGCAGGTGAGGCACTTAGGTCAGGATTCTTTCAACAGGAAATAAACTGATGCCATCTCAGATCAGCAACAAATTGTATTATGATGAACCCTTTAGTGTCCAGTCATTGAAATAATGAAGGGAATTCAATGTGCTTCTAGTATGTTATAGACTGGCATAAAAAACTACAGTAGATTTTATATTATGTTGTTTTGTAGATAGTTCTGCTACTATTTGTTCTTTTTGTTTCAATGAATAATCATTATGCAACTATCTGAGGCAAAAATGGGTGGTTAGAAGAAAAATTATAGCACTTTGAAGACACGCTTGCAGTACATTATTTCTCCATCCATGATTATCTTGGAAGTCATTTGGCTATCCGTATGCCTAGCTTCATTATTTATTGAAGAATCATAAAAAAAATCTTTCTGATATTATGCAAGAACTTATTTACTCTTGAATTTCATACCTAGACTTCCATGAAATTCACTCAAAATATTTGTTTTACTCATTTTTATTAAAAAAATTAATTTTCTAATTTTCAAACTTAAAGAAAAAAAAATGCACTTTTATCCTTCTGGGAATATGACAAATTTGAGTAATGCATTTTTAATTGTGTGCACTCATCTGTAGCAATTTTTCTGTCCAGTTTTTCTGTAGGCACATGCAAGTGTTGCCATATAAAAAAAAATCTGAAATTTTTTTTTATTTCTTTTTTTAGGGCTATCATAGTGGAATTTCTACCCTCTAACACAGTACTCCCATACAGATACTCAGTAAAAAAAAATAAAAAAATATAGAAAAAATTGGAGAGCTCAACACAAAAATTCCAAATGGTGTTGTAGCAGCAAAGAAAGAGCTTAAATATAAGACAGTAAACAATAGATATCTTACCTGTGGGACAGATTTTTATGAACGTAGAAGGCATAACATGGGGACATGGACTGATGTTAAGAGGTAGTATATTTTCTATTTTTCTATGTACAGCACAAGACATAAAAAAACAGAGCTAGGCAATGACATGGCAACTCCATACAGAAGTTCAAAGGTAAATATGATATAAGCCCATTAACTTCAACTCAAGTTATATTATATTCATGGGGATGCTGTAAACTGGTAGGAATCATACAGTGCTTGAGGAACAGGAAGTACCGTAATTTGGTCTAAGGAAAGGTTAGCTCCAATTCCTGGAATCAAGAGCCTTTCACCTGCATCAAGGTACTCCCCCCTCCCTCTGCAAGGTCAAAATTGAAATGCAGGCCCAAGAGCTGAAAATCTATTTGATAACATTTCCTAGAATCTTCAACATACACTTGTAGCTTGCACTCTAGACATACAGCTCAATTATTAGGAACATTTTTGCAACATTATCATGAGCAAAGTAAATGCAGGGGTATCTAGTTTTCAGTTACTTACACTTCAATATTCAGTGAAAATCTACTTTATTTTCTCCAGTCTCCATTAGCCTTTCTATAAGAAGTGATTCTCAATGTTCTTTTTTCTTAATTTAAATTTATCTGTTTTATTCATGCTTCCTTCATTGTAGTCCCTTACTTGTATGTGCACTAATAGATAAAAAAAACAGATAAAATAGATAAAAATTAAATTAAGAATACTTCATAATCAGTTTATACCCACTTTTACATTTTCCAAAACTACTAGAAACTAAGAACATCAACTTGAGACAGTCTGATTACTCCCATCTTTTCCACTTTTGAAACACTAACTATTAACCACCTCCCTAACTTCTTAAGAATCCTGATTACTTCACAAACTTCATGGTCAATAACCATCTCCCCTTCACATATAATGCTTAATCATACCATGCATTTAATGCACTTCATATACTACTCATCACATAATTCTGTATAAATGCATATGTAAGATTATACATCTTCCTCACATGATCAGTACAGAATTTTTCCAAATACGGTACTTTACTGATACCTTACAATGACTGACAAATGGAAACTTAATGCTCTTTCCAATACCTGTTAACTGCCTCAGGAATGATCCTCTTGCAGAATTCCAACGTAAGGTGTGCAAATGAGTCAAGGCGATATACCCGTGCCTCATTCAAAACCTACGTGAATACAATACGAAAGTTAGTATGAATAGGTTTAGGATTTAAAGATCTCAGGCAATACATTTCTTACAATTTACAAAAAGTAGGCATACAGACATAAAAACTAGTAAAAATCAAAAGAAAATAAATATTATTAACCCTTTCATTGTTGGGACCCTTGAAATTAACAGTACTGACAATGCTGGAATTTAAAAAATAAAACATTTTTCTGGTAGTAATAAGATAAAGAAAAGATTTTCCCATCAGTAATTACTGAGACATGGAAGTTTTGGGTAGAAAGTCATTAGCCCACAGACAGAACATCAATAATTGTTGATCGCTACATATTAATTCATTTTTGTTTGTACTTTTTTCTGGGGGGTTTCTAATTTTTTACATTTACTAGTAACTGTTGGGGCCCATGAGACACACATGCACAATGTACATATGACCACTCATTGTATGCCATACAATGCCCATATTAACAGTATCATCAGTACATTGTTTACAAAGCACATACACAATGTAAACAAACATGTCCAAATGCTTCACACTACTACTGTCCTAACATATTTCCACATACAGGCACTGGTCATGTTCCTAGAACTATTGCAGTCTGTCCAAGTCCCTGAAACATGGTTCCATACATATCAGTGTTTTGCACTCTCTACACAAAGTGCATGTCCCTCTGCTTTACTGTGTGCACAGATATATCTTTTGAGCCCACTGCTATTCCCTTGGGATAGGAATGGCCACACTACCAGATGCTTGTGGCACTACATAATGATGCTTCAAAGGCAAACTTTTTATCACTATCATTTAAACGGTCATCAATTACTAGGAAATAAGTCCATATCACTACCATCACCATTACTCACATCAGTGCCAAAGTCACAGGAGAATATAAATTTTTGCTTAAGGCGTGATGAACGTGTTCCAGATGAACCAACCCCATATGTGGATGGCTGAGGGTCACTGGGGTTTTCAGCAATATTTCTGGCATACTGAGCATCACTTTCAGTCACTAAATGTTTGATACCAAAGAGCTCATCCTCAGTTCTGTAATTATCATTGTTGAAGCTGTCACTGATGAATAATACTCACTGAATTCACCTGGGGGTGAACTCTGTATTTGTGAAGCATGGTGAACAATGTTATACTAAGATAACATTTCCATAATGCACTAAAGCTGCCCCAATTCTATATACTGCACCATGTAGTCCCGTTCTGTTATGTTTAAGCCCACCTGCCTTCTCACACCAAGCTTGAAGCTACTAGAATTTATACATAGATGTACATAAGCAATCTTGGAATCAATAATGTAGATCTATATAAGACAACGAAAGGGTTAAATCTATATTTATTAATACCCAGAAATGCTTATTAAGATGTTTTATTAACGATGATCATAATAAGTTATGTGCACTATATTACAGTTAAAGCTGATACAAAATAAATTAAAGCCTAAATGTAAAAAGTTTATCTGCCAAATATACTGTATTACTAAATACTATACCATGTAACTGAAATAATAGGTAGTAGGTTGGTAGACAGCAACCACCCAGGGAGGTACTACCGTCCTGCCAAGCGAGTGTAAAACGGAAGCCTGTAATTGTTTTACATGATGGTAGGATTGCTGATGTCTTTTTTTTCTGTCTCATACACATGCAAGATTTCAGGTACGTCTTGCTACTTCTACTTACACTTAGGTCACACTACACATACATGTACAAGCATATATATACACACCCCTCTGGGTTTTCTTCTATTTTCTTTCTCGTTCTTGTTCTTGTTTATTTCCTCTTACCTCCATGGGGAAGTGGAACAGAATTCTTCCTCCGTAAGCCATGAGTGTTGTAAGAGGCGACTAAAATGCCGGGAGCAAGAGGCTAGTAACCTCTTCTCTTGTATATATTACTAAATGTAAAAGGAGAAACTTTCGTTTTTCCTTTTGGGCCACCCCGCCTCAGTGGGATATGGCCGGTGTGTTGAAAGAAAGAGTAACTGAAATAAGTTTTTAATGCTATATTTGAAATGCAGATATTGCAAGTGTATGGAATAGGTAGTAAATTACTAAATGCTCTAAAGAGTTTTTATGAGGATAGTGAGGCTCAGGTTAGGGTGTGTAGGAGACAGGGGTGCGTAATGTCACCATGCTTGTTTAACATATTTATAGATGGAGTTGTCACAGTTACCTTTTGCTGATGATACTGTGCTTTTGGGAGATTCTAAAGAGAATCTGGAAAGGTTAGTGGACAAGTTTGGGAGAGTGTGTAAAGAAAGTTGAAAGTGAACATAGATAAGAGTAAGGTGATGAGGGTATCAAATGAGTTAGGTAAAGAAAAACTGGATATCACACTGGAGGGAATGAGTACGAAAGAAGTGAATGTGTTCAGATACACAAATAACCCGCACATAGAAGAGAGGAGCTTACGACGACGTTTCGGTCCGACTTGGACCATTTACAGTCACACTAACAATAAGGAGAGCAGGATGGGTATATACAGGCATGAGGTGGTAGTATTAAAAGTAGTGGAGAGAAGGAAGTAGTAGTGGAGAGGTAGTAAGAGTAGGAGGGGTCAGTCAAATACTAAGAAAGAGGAGCACTGCACGGGAGCTAGGTGCCCACAGAGGGTAAGAGCAAGAACATCGAGGAGGGGAAAACAAATAAATAAATAAAGAAAGGAGGAACAATTACATAGGGCAGGAGAAAGACAACACAAAGGAGAAAAAGGAAAGAGGGAGAAGAAGAAAAAAGGAGGAATCAGGTTAGGTCACGAGTGTTCTGAAGTTTGGAGCATTTTACAATGTAGTGGGAGAGAAAGGCATCTACAGAGATGAAGCCAGGACTAAGATTCATACAAGGAAAAATTGTGTATTAGGGAGGATTCAACCAGACGGCGACTGTTAAAGTTGGAAGTAGGGAAGACAGTTTTAGCAGAAGACCAGTCAATAGGGTGGCTGTGACCTCTGAAGTGACAGAAAAGAGCATTGTTAGTGTCGGCAAGCCTAACACTAATTTTGTGCTCCCTAAGTCTGTCAGAAAGAGATCGACCAGTTTCTCCAAAGTACTGAAGAGGACAGGAGGAACAAGAAATAGAGTAGACACCAGGAGCATCTGTAGAGGGAGGAGAGGTATAAACGAGATTAGTGTGAAGAGTGTTAGTCTGGCGGAAAGTAAGTTTGATGTCTAAGGAACGGAGAGAGTTGTTGAGATTAGAAAGACTGGAAATGTAGGGAAGGCAGAGGACAGAAGAGTTCCCAGGAGTAGAGTTTGGGAGAGAAGAAACTATGTTTAGCACGTGAGAAGGCAGAGTCAATGAAATGGCAAGGGTAGCCAAGACGGGAAAATGAATTATGAAGAGTGGAAATTTCGGACTGAAGGAACTGAGGATCACACATGCAGAGAGCATGGAGAAAGAGGGAGATAAGAACACTTTTCTTAACAGAGGAAGCATGATAAGAAAAGTAGAGAATGTACATGCCACTGTGCATAGGCTTGCAGTAAACGGAAAAGGCAAAACCTGCATCTGAGCAGAGGACACACGAACATCAAGTAAAGGAAGCAAGGAGTTAGATTCCCATTCAGCTTTAAACTTAATGGAAGGGGCAAGATTATTAAGAGCATCAAGAAATAGTTGGAAGAGACAAGAGTCATGAGGCCACAGAGCAAAGATGTCATCAACATAGTGGAGCCAGAGTGAAGGGCGCACATCGATAGTAGGAAGAAGAACAGTCTCGAAATATTCCATGTGAAGATTAGTAAGGATAGGAGAGAGAGGAGAACCCATAGTGACACCGAAGGTTTGAGAATAATATTTCCCTTGGAAGCAAAAGGAATTAGAGTCCACACAGAGGCAGATAAGATCAAGAAAGACATCAGTAGGTATAGGGAGATGAAGAAACCTTTCATTGGCCTTCTCTAAGAAAATCAAGGACATCATGAAGAGAGTTATTTGTGTATTGCTCCAGTCACGGTATTGTGCCTTTTTTTTGTTATTAATGTGTTCAGATATCTGGGAGTAGATTTGTCAGATGGGTTTATGAAGAATGAGGTTAACCATAGAAGTAATGAAGGGGAAAAAAAGGCGAGTGGTGCACTGAGGTGCCCGTGGAGACAAAAAATGTTATCCATGAGGGCAAAGAACGGAATATATGAGAATACAGTGGTACCAACACTCTTATATGGGTGTGCAGCATGGGTTGTGAATGCTGCAACAAGGAAGAGGCTGGAGACAGTGGAGATGTCATGTTTAACGGCAATGTCTGGTGTAAATATTATGCAAAGAATTTGTAGTGTAGTAATAAGGTGGTGGTTTGGAGTTACAAAAAGTATTATTCAGAGGGCTGAAGAGGGGTTATAACCCCCAATAATTATTGAGGTAGTTTGGTCATTTAGAGAGGGTGAAGCAAATTAGAATGACCTGGAGGGTATATATATCTAGAGTGGAGGGGAGGAGTGGTAGGGGTCAGCCTAGGAAAGGATGGAAGGAGGGGAGTAAAAGAGGTTTTGTGTGCAAGGAGTCTGGACATGCAGCAGACATGTGTGAACATGTTAGATAGGAATGAATGGAGACGGATGTTTTTTGGGACCTGACGAGCTGTTGGAATGTGAGGAAGGTTATATTTTGTGAAGGGATTCAGGGAAACTGGTTAACCGGACTTGAATCCTGGAGGTGGAAAGTACGATGCCTGCACTTTAAGGAGGAGTTTGAGATATTGGCTGTTTGGAGTGACATATAAACGGTCATATCTAGGCACCTCTGCAAAGACAGTGATTATGTGTGAATGATGGTGAAAGTGTTTCTTTTTTGGGTCACCCTGTCTCGGTGGGAGACAGCCGGTGTGTTGGAAAAAAAAAATTAAAATGCAACTTTATTTCATCTAAACTTTAAATATCTATGTTCCAATTCCCTGATTGGTACTTTCAGTAACCAATGTTTGTATAAGCATTACATACCCTGGTATGTCTAACCAAATACACATCAGAACATTCCATCAAAATCTATAAATAACTTTAAAGATATTTCCAGGCAAGTTGGATCACAAGTGAAGCTAGCAGTAATTGCTCAACTAAGATAAACCAGAATGTAAAATTCCTTGGCAAATGTCTGGTGCTTCGTAACAGCCTTGCCACACTTCAATGCATTAAGTGTCTAAAGGAGATTCTACCTGTGGCTATCCAAATAAGACTGGAGATTTCAAGGCTGAAGATATGAATAGTATGAAAGGCATTAAATATTTTAACACATAAGAACTTACCTCTTGTATAAAAATGGCAGATTTTTCAACCTGGTCCCCAAAAGCAGCTAAATCTGATTGACTGGTCTTGTTCTCACTATGGGACATGCAAGTCTGTGAGACAAGAGCAGCAAATGGGGTGGGTGCTACAGGTGCCTCAGTGTCCTGAACTAATTGCTTCACCCGCCCTGCTATCGTATCTTTCGCTGAACTTAGATCGACATTCACTTCAAGCATTTTAAGCATCTGACAGAGAATAAATATTAATTAAACAAAAACTTAAGACAGATAAAAACAAAAAATAATATTCAATGTCAATCACATGTTAGCTGAACAAATAAAACATACTTTACATTATATACCTGATTTTTATTTATATATATCAAGGCACTTTGTTCATTCCAAAGTGGTTTTAAATCTGATTTCTTTAAATGTGGTACAAATACTGCAGAAACAGCAGGGGACACATCGATGTTGTTTTGCCATGAAACCAATTCACTGCTTCGTGGCTCAAACACAAAAACTGCAAATAATAGAAGCATGAGAATGTGAAATAAATGTAGTGTAAGCACTCCTCTGGCAAGATAGAGATGGAGTGAATGATGATGAAAGTTTTACTTTTTTGGGCCACCCTGCCTTGGGGGGAGTCAGCTGATGTGTTAATTAAAATAAAAAACATCAGACATTTCCCACTGAGGACCCAAAAAAAGAAGAAACACCATCATCATTCACTCCATCACTGTCTTGCCAGAGGCACGCCTACACTACGGTTAAAAAACTGCAACATATCTAATTCTTAGACACTGAGAGTATTTGGGCAATTATACTAATACAAAGAAGCTTTTTTCACAAAATAACATTACACATTCAATGTTACCTGGGACAGATGACTGAGGGAGGGATGGAGAAGAAAAAGAGAGAAAGACACAAAAAGAGAAAGAAAGAGAGAAAAAGAAAGAGGAGGATGTAGAGTTAATTCAGGACATCACAGACAGGAGCTGACAACAGAGAAGATCCAGGAATTAAGTGAGATTAATGAGGGCAGTGGAAAGAAAGAAGTGAATGAAGACAACCATAGGGTGAAAGATGCAGAAATTCACTAACTGGGGAGGTGTGAAATTCACAGGAAAATACCCAGACAATGAAAAACTGAATTCACTTCTTGTGTTTTTAAAGACAATGTTTTATCTTATTTTAAGAGGCTCTGAAGAAAATAACAAGAACAAACAACTCGGGACAGTTTTTTTCAAGAGCCAGCAGTTTGAAAAAGCTTCTCTTTCCAACCAGTAACTTCCTCTTCCCTGCCAACTTTTCAAGTCCTAGGTACAGTAAAACTTGCACTCCCGGAGTCTTGGAACAAATTACCACAAAACCATGCATTTTGGAATTTGAGTCACAATAGTTTTGAGGTACACTACATCTGGAACAGATTAATATCATAACTCATGGGACCACTGTATAACATTAGGAAATACCGACAGGAAGTGTGAACAATGCTAGCTATGAAGAAATATTATGTGAAATAAAAACAAATGTCTATTCAAGTCAAGAAAAAGAAATCTCCTTATTATACACTCTCTTACCATCACAGCTCTCCGAGAATACAGCCATGTAGGAGGACAGAGGATCAGCAGCTAAGCATGTGGAGCAGATGCTAACACGCCAAGAGAGAGTGCACATGAACAGGTCCCAGGCACACACCCAATTCTTTGTGCGAGTCACAATCAGGGATCCAGAGTCTTTACCACGACCAAATTCTATCTGCCTGTGAAACAATGTATATTAAGTATGACATAATTTTTATTTATCTGAATGTCAGTAACTTTCTGTAATCAAATGGGGTAAATTACAGTAAACCTTCTCTTAATGCCACATCACTTAGTGGAATTTTATTGCAACATTATTAAAAATTGCAACCAAAAGCTTAGTAGCATTCAAAAATCATGTGTGTCTTAAATCTTAAAGACCTCAATCCGTTTCATGGGCAATGAGCAGTGACAGCCTCTCACCATTCTTGCTAACTGAGAGTAAGTAGCCTCTTTCTTGTTTCTCTTGCCCTCTGTAATACAATGGTGTAACTGACTGCTCCTTTTCTGACACTTAAAGAACACAAGAGAAATGTTCCCCTTGCTGCCTGGCACTATCAACTTTTTTGTCATACTGAAAACCATAGTCATCCCATAAGGTGGTCCTCTCCCAAAACTATCTATACCTATTGCAGGCTTTATAAATGGTGAATTGGCCCTTATACACACATTCCTAACAAGAAGCTTAGTCCCAGTTTTATTCCTGTTGATGCTTGCCTTTTGCAGTACATTGTCAAATGCTCAAATCTTCATAATACATGTGTCTTGACCTGACCAGATCTGTCCTCTGACCTTTCTTGGCTCTGGCTGTCTGCTACATTTTCACCTAATCTGACTTATGGATTTCTTCCCTTTTCACTTACATGTCAAATGATACTGGTAATGGTCCAGGACAGGCTGAAATATAGCCACTTTTTTCAAACTAAAGGCTAGCTGTGAACTTTACACTTGCAACTACAATTTATGTTAATTCTTTCTTTCAACACACCGGCCGTATCCCACCAAGGCAGGGTGGCCCAAAAGGAAAAACGAAAGTTTCTCCTTTTACATTTAGTAATATATACAGGAGAAGAGGTTACTAGCCCCTTGCTCCCGGCATTTTAGTCGCCTCTTACAACACGCATGGCTTACGGAGGAAGAATTCTGTTCCACTTCCCCATGGAGATAAGAGGAAATAAACAAGAATAAGAACTAGAAAGAAAATAGAAGAAAACCCAGAGGGGTGTGTATATATGTGCTTGTACATGTATGTGTAGTGTGACCTAAGTGTAAGTAGAAGTAGCAAGACGTACCTGAAATCTTGCATGTTCATGAGACAGAAAAAAGGACACCAGCAATCCTACCATCATGTAAAACAATTACAGGCTTTCGTTTTACACTCACTTGGCAGGACGGTAGTACCTCCCTGGGCGGTTGCTGTCTACCAACCTACTACCTATAATTTATGTTAATTATGAACAATATTTATATTTTTTTTTCTTCTGTGGAATTAAACATATTTGTATTGTGTAGTTCGTGCAAAATACTTCTCCCAAAGCAAAGTTTTTCCCACTCATAATCTGTATGTTAAGAAATGTAAAACATTTACTTACTTTATCCTCTCAGAGAGGTATGGTTGAGAGAGAGTGCCTTTAAGCTGACAAGTTGTGGGAAGCCAAAATGTTAGAATACTCCCAAAACCAGCAGCAATGAGTGAGCCATCAGGGGATATACTAACTGCTGTTGCTGGAAAGTGTCGATAAGATCCCACACCACAGCAATTCCAACAACTTTTTTTTCCTGTTGACAAGTATAATTAATTTTTTATTCTGCATACATATAATGATAAATCACTAACAAAACATAATGATGATATAAATGCCCTACTAAAAATCACAAAAATTTTAAGACAAAAATTTATGAAAAAAAATAAGGGGTAAACATATTTACAGGCAATATTTTCAAGGGATCGACACTGCTTTATAAAGTGTGCCTACAGTACAATAAATTCCTACTTCTTGGGTGCATCAAGAATGGTATCAGCGAGTAAGAGGGGTGAAAGTATATAAACTAAAGGAGGAGGTACTTTAGGTAAGATATAAGCAACTATTGGGAGAAAGATGGGCTAGTGAGGGTATAGGTAACGAGGAGGTTGAAGAGGTATGGGGTAGATTTAAGAACAGTGTGTTCGAGTGTGCAGCAGAAGTTTGTGGACATAGGAGGGTGGGTGTGAGAGGGAAGAGGAGTGATTGGTGGAATGAGGTAAACGAAGTGTTAAGGGAGGAAAAGTTAGCATATGAGAGGTTTTTATAAGGCAAAGTGATATAGGGATGGTGAAGTATACAGAGTAAGAGAGGCTAAGAGAGTGGTGAGGTAGTGTAAAAGGAGAGCAAATGAGTGAGTGGCTGATGTTCTGTCAACAAATTTTGCTGAGAATAAGAAAGAGTTTTGAAGTGAGATTAACTGGCTGAAAAAGCCTAGGAATTCAATGGATCTGACAATTAAAATCAGAAGAGGGGCATTAGATGGGGAGTTGGAGGTATTGGGAAGATGGCAAGAATATTTTGATTAGCTGTTAAATGTTGATGAAGAAATGAAGGCAGTGATTTCATGTACTGGCCAGAGAGGTATAACATCCTTTAGGAGCAAGGAAGAGCCAGATATGAGAGTGGTGGAAGGAGATGAGGCAGTGGGTATAATGAAAAGGGGTAAAGCAGTTGGGATTGATGGGACCAAGACAGAAATTTTAAAAGCAAGTGGTTATATAGTTTTGGGGTGGCTGGTACTTTAGTTCAATAAATGTATGAGAGATAGGAAGGCACCTAGGGATTGTCAGAGACCATGCATGGTTCTTGTGTATAAAGGAAAGGGGGACAGAGTAAAAATTATAGGGGAAGAAGCCTGTTGAGTATACCAGGTACAGTGTATGGTAGGGTTATTACCAAAAGAATTAAGGGTAAGAGGAAGAGCAGGATCACTGATGAACAAGGAGGCTTTAGGAAGGGTAGATGTACAGACCAAGTGTTTACACTGAAGCATATAAGTGAACAATATTTAGATAAAAGGTAAGAAAGTTTTTGTTGTAGTCATGGATTAAGAAAAGCATATGATAGGATGGATAGGGGAGCAATGTGGCAGATGGTGATAAGTTACTGAAAGCAGTTAAAAGTTTTTATGAGGATAGCAAGACTCAGGTTAGAGAATGTAGGAGAGAGGGAGATTATTTTACAGCAAAGGTAGACCTTAGCCAGGGATGAACGACATCACAATGGCTGTTTCACATATTTGTAGATGGAGTTGTAAAAGAAGTGAATACTAGCATGTTGGGGAGAGATGTGGGATTATAACATGAAGAGTCTAATGCAAAAAGGGAGTTGTTACAACTGTTTTTTGCCAATGACACTGCTTCTGGGAGATTCTGAAGAGAAGTTGCAAAAGTTGGTGGACAAATCTGGGAAGGTATGTAAAAGAAGGAAATTAAAAGTGAACATTGGGTCTATGAAAGATGCAGTGAAAAAAGGTGGGAAGTGTATCAAGGCATCTGTGGAGACCAAGAACATTATCCATCAGAGGCAAAAAGGGGAATGTAAGAGTATAATAGTACCAAACCTCTTACGTGGGTTGTAATATTGCAGCGAGGAAGCTGGAGGCAGCAGAGACGTCATGTCTGAGGGCAATGTGTGGTGTAAATATTATGCTGAGAATTTGTAGCTTGGAGATTCGGAGGTGCAGGGTTACTAACAGTATTATCCAGAAGGCTGTTGAGGTGGTTCAAACATCTAGAGAGGAGGGTGTATGAATTTGTAGTGGAGGGAAGACAGGGTAAAGGTCATCTTATGAAAGGTTAAGAGGGCTTAATGGAGGTTCTATGTGTGAGGGGTTTGGACACCCAGAAGGTGTATGTGAGACTGTTAGATAGGAGTGGAGGCAAATGGCTTTTGGGGCTTGAAGAGCTGTTGGAGTGTGAGCAAGGTAATATTTTTGCGAAGGGATTAAGTCCTAGAGGTGGGAGGTACAGTGCCTGCACTCTGGAGGGATGGGTTGGGAATATTTGTAGTTTGGAGGATCATCTGAACTGTAGTACAGTGGTACCTCAGTATACATCCGCTTTGGAATAAGTCCAACTTGGCATATGTCCTGTTTGGATGCGAAAATTTTTTGCTTGGTATACAACCTTTGTTTGAAATATGACTTGCATGCTAGAAGTTGCATGGGTCAAAATGAGTCATGACACCGCACGCTACCCTTGTTTGCCTCTCTCTCGAGACAAAACCACGACTGCCCACTAGCGTCAGTGAACAACCCGCACTGTAACACCCTGAATTTTCACGTAATTTTGTTTTTTCATATAAATCTTTAGTAAATTCATTAACCATAAGTTCTAAGAAAGTTAATGAGAAGAGCCAAACAAAGAAGAAAATGGTTAGGATCACCATGGAGGTGAAAAAAGAGACTGTTGAAAAGTATGAAGGTGGCATGTGTATCCGGGACAGGGCTGCTGCATACCGTATGCCGAGAACAGTGGTATCTACAATTGTTATTAAATTGGCAGGTCCATGGGTTTGGATGTGAGTGATGGTGATGTGGAGGGGCATGGGGAAGAGCTGACCACTGAGGAGCTGCAGGAACTTGAGGAGGAGGAGCACAAAACTATGATGGATGCACTCTCTTCAGGCTTGGAAGAGAAGACTGAGGAAGCCCCTACTTCATTAATCATGGAAATCTTTGCCAAATGGAAAGACGTCAAAAACTTTGCAGAGAAGTACCACCCCAACAAACCCCAAACAGACAATGTCACATTTCTGAAACATCCTGAGAAGGCAAATTGCTTTGGAGAGATTTTTAGTAAAAGTCAAACCTGGTGAGCTTCAACCAGGTCCAAATAGGAAAAAAAAAATAGACAGAAAAGAGAAGGGGACTCTCCTTACAAACAATAGCATCTCCTCCTCCTCTTCCCTTCTTGGCACTATCATAGTAAGCACTCGACTCTATTCAGCGGGTGTCGAGGTTTCTTGCTGTTTCACCTACGTAAATCTTGTCACAGCCTCCACAGGGTATAGTGTAAACTCCTGCATTGACTTGTTCGTGGTGCTTGGATTTTGTCCTGGTTAGATCCTTTATTGAAGTGCTAGAAGCGATGGCGACTCTGGTGTTAGCTTGTGAAAGTACTTTTGAGACGTTCAGTGCAACCTGGCTGTTGGGAAGAATTATAACTTTGTTGGAGTGGTGTTGGTGCGTGGAGAATTAATGATCTGAAGAGCTCTTTTCTTGCAGTCTTTGATGAAAAAAGAAGGAAAATGTAACTCAGTGAATGTTTGGTGAATGTATGTACATTCCTCGTCAAGAAACTCAGGACTACAAATTCGGTATGCTCTTAGGAAAAACCCGATGATGATGCCTCTTTTGGTCTTGGTATCTTGACTGGAATAGAAGTGTGTGAGATCATTTTTATTGGTGGGTTTCCGATAAACTTGAAATCTTAGGTTGTTGTCTACTTGTGAATGAGGACGCCGAGGAAAGGTAGCTTGTCATTGGACTCTTCTTCTACTGTAAACTGGATCGCCGGTTCAAATGCGTTGAGCCTTGCCTGAAGATTCCATACATCAAAACGTTTGGGAGTTATTACGAGGACGTCGTCCACGTAATGTAACCAAGTATTGCACCTCACTCTGAGCCTTTATATACCCTCTGTGTCCATGTATTGTTTGTAATGGCTTGATAAAGCTCCTGGAGAGCGAAACGTTGCCACAATAAAATGTCACATTAGTTGCACTTGTGTCCTTTTACTTTACATCTAATTCTTTATGTATTTTAGTATTAAGCAGTGTTTAAATTATTTTATACAACCAAATCAATGTATAATATGCCAATAACAATAGGATTTTTTTTCATGGGAATGGATTAATCGTTTTCCCTATATTTCTTATGGGAAAATTTGTTCAGTATGTCCTGTTTGGCATAAGTCCAAGGTCCTGGAACGGATTAAGGACGTATACTGAGGTACCACTGCATTGGTGTACCTCTGGCAAGACAGTGATGGCACAAGTGATAAAAAGACAACTTACCATATATATCTGAGTTATCAATTTCTTTCCAAATCTTGAACTTATCATCCTCTCCACAAGTTATACACAATGATGTTTTTCCTGGTGTTGGAGTAGGCTGAAATGTAATGCCGTTGATATACTTGTCATGTGGCATTTCTATTGAGGTGTTGAGGTACCAGCTGAAAATAAATGTTTTAAGAGCTTTAAACTCTTCATAATGTGACTTTTAACAGAAAATTATTAATAAGACTCCCAACTTTGGAAAACTCAGCTCAGAAAAAAATTTGCTATTTGTAATTAAAATATTAATTATAAGCTATTGAGAAACACTCATGAACACATCATGAAACTGCTGTGTACTCTAGTTGTCTAAGATGAACTACTTTTTTGTTTCTGATTTGCATGTGAGGTTACAGCATTTTTAGTCCTACTGTTACAACCTCAATACTATATATGAAGTCCTAAGTTAATTATAGTTTTTAACCCAAATATAACTCCTACTTCATTTAAATTATGTACTATGTTGGACTGCAAACAATTAGGTCATCAACCAGGAGACCTAACCAGATACCAAACCAGATGTCATGATCTGCAAAACTACTGCAACAATGAAACCAGATGTTAATACAATATCTAGTTTCTCAATATTACATATAACAGAAAAAAGTCCCAATGTATGCTAACTGTAATAGAGAGACAGCTTAAGACCAAACCAAGAGTGACTGTACAGAAGATTCAAGAAAAGAATCTACAATTGCTTCATAGTGTCAATTATAATTGTTAACAGGCATATGAAGTGGCTTGGTTACAGCAGCCATCAACCTATCCAGAAACCAATTTTGACCCATGTGCAGAGAAATCAGAGTTGTGCTTGCAAAAAAATACCAAACAACAGCGGTGCAAGGCTCTTTTTAGCAATGAATTATTTTCACAGTGACCCGTAGCCACAGGAATGTTTACAGCTGGCCCAGTGGAGACCCCTTGGACCCAAGCAGCTGCACTTTTACCATCTTTAATGGTTTGGGCTTGTTTTAGTGCTAAAAGTGTTGGAGAGTTGATTGTGCTACCCACAAAACACTGTAGTTATGAAGGTTATAAATGACCATAATTTTTAAAGGGGTGGACCGGTAAGCCAGCGGAAGGCCTCGGTCAGATGACCAAAAGATCCAAAGGCGGGTCATCATCTGACTAAGACCCGCGTCAGGAAACATTTGTCCTGTTTCCTGACGAACCTTACCTAACCTAACCTAACTGTAGTTATCAGTACAACTAGCTGAAACTGTCTTTCATTCAATGTGGTGCAAAAACTTTTAATCATGATGTTATTACTGTTCTTGCTGCTGAACAGCGGTTTAGTGCCGATGAAGGAAGCGTAGGTAGCAATGATACGGCCGTGGACTAGTTTGGCTTTAATTGGATAGGAGTGAGTACACAACGGGCAGTGTGAAGGAGTGACCGCAAGCCAGTCCGTGGAGGGGGAGCACTTGTGCCTATCAAGTCGGTCAGCCTAGGAGCGAGATCTATCTCAGGCCCCGTCAAGACGCTGGGAGTAATAGATAACTCTTTAGGCCAGCAGGTGCGTTGGATGACGACGAATGATGTTGACTGGCGTCGACCCCTCCACCCCGAGTAGGCTCACAGTGCCGTTGACTCCGCTCTCACCACGTAGTTTCGAGTGGCCTCGGGCACTCGGATACACAGTTCTGGCAATGAATCACACGAAAAACAGCAGAAAACACAGCAGAGGGAGTGGGCAGTGGTGAGTGTATGGTAGACAGGTGAGCGTGAGTAGGGTGAGCATGGGCAAGGTGAGGAACGGCCACTTCCTCCTCCCACAAACACGTGGAGAACTCTCACTGGATGCAGAAATCGCCACAAAACTCACCTCTGGCTTGCTGAAACAGCTGTGCTGAGCTGAACAACAACAGCAGCAACATACAAGTGACGCTGAACATGTGACTTGAGAAACAGCGTGGGACGCTGTAGCGTGGGGTCGCTGAGACGCCACTTACAATTCTCGGCGAAATTCAGCAAATTTTGGCTAGATCCTGCTTGTACCTGTGTCTGGATGCTCAAACGTGCAGACACGACATCAGGATAACTCGTTGAGAGACGGATGCTTGTTGCGTAGGGGGATGAAGTGAACAACTTCATTCCTTCCTTCCTCTCACTGCTGCGACCACCGCTGCCACCAATGTTTAATGAGATTATTTGGTAAGCTGTAGCGGGGTTCAAATGATACATCTTCGGAGGCTTCTTACTTTATTGAAAATGTCGTGGTGGGTACACAGGCTTGTGTGTTGTGCCCATGGCCCGGGCAGGGCCATCCCACGAGAGGAGCTAGGAGTAGGCCTTGTGTCTTCCTGCTAGGCCGCTGTGTGAGTGAGAGTGAGGCAAGGGCAGCCAGGCTGAAGTGGCAACGCCTATAGGTGGCAGCACCAGCATGGCACGAAATATGAACTAAGCTGGCAGACAGCATGGGTTGTCTGTGCAGACAGTACAGGCTGTCTACAATGACAGTGCTCCTTGATGCACCTCTAAATCAGTTGTTCAGTGGCTTCATTTGTGATGTACCCTTCTTGAGATCTACAGAAACAGGACATCAGCTCATTCCCACCATATGCAAATCGAGGGAGAAATTACCCAAAGAAACTCTAAAAATTTATGCAAGTCACTTCCAAGATGATTTAAGGATGTCCTGATGCTCAAGGGACGACCTACAAAATACAGCCTCTCCTTACTTAACAACAGAGTTCCACTCCTAAGACCACGTTGTTAAATGACTTTGTCGCTAAGTGAGGAGCATATTATAATGGTAGTGAGATTGTGTCAGCCATCTTTGATATTGTTTTAATGTCACCTTTGCACCATTTATAAAATTTCTGGTGTATTTTTAAATGTTTATACAGTAGTGCACTGTGTATTGAAATAAACAGAATAGAGGAAATCAGCTCTAATATACATTATTTAGGTATGAATACTAGTCAGAGAGCCTGTCGTAAGTCCGAGGCATTGGTAAACGAGTATGTCGCTAAATGAGGAGAGGCTGCCCTAAATTATTGGCAAGTACTTCATATTTTTTTTTTTTTGGTATATTTTGTGATCATAGTTTGAGAGAGAAGGGTAGAGACTGTGTACTTTAATGGTGAGCACTGTTCATGACATACATTAATGCATGCCCACAAATATAGATAATAAAATCATACTTGTAGGTAGTAAGTTGGTAGACAGGAACTACCCAGGGAGGTACTACTGTCCTGCCAAATGAGTGTAAAACACAAGCCTGTAATTGTTTTACATGATGGTAGGATTGCTGGTGTCTTTTTTCTGTCTCATAAACATGCAAGTTTTCAGGTACATCTTGCTACTTCTACTTACACTTAGGTTACACTTCACTTGCATGTAGAAGCATATATACACACACCCCTCTGGGTTTTCTTCTATTTTCTTACTAGTTCTTGTTCTTGTTTATTTCCTCTTATCTCCAAGGGTGAGTGGAACAAAATTCTTCTTCCGTAAACCATGAGTGTTGTAAGAGGTGAATAACGTGCTGGGAGCAAGGGGCTAGTAACCCCTTTTCCTGTATACATTACCAAAGTTAAAAAGAGATTTTCGTTTTTTTTTTTTTTGAGCCACCCTGCCTTGGTGGGATATGGCTGGTTTGTTGAAAGAAGAAAATCGTACTTACATCTGGTCCTCCTTTTTGAAGTTCCAGAATTTGAGGCGCAGTTCCATAGAGCTTTGATGGTCATCTCTATACTCAACAGTGGCAAGCCAACACCCATCTGGAGACACAGCAAGCTTCTCAACATCCGTGTTGTAGATTTTTTGATACCTCTCCCGACTATAATAATTGCTCATTGTTATATCCAACTGGGAAAGAAGAAGGGAGACTAGAAAACAAATGTGGGACATACACACAATTTTTATTTTAAGTGCATAACAAGTGTAGTCTGTTTGACTAAGTGCTTCAAGATGAAAGGTTAAGACATTGCTTTTAGATGTTTTTGTATGCAAAATTCTAATTTTTTCTGATATAATTAAAAATTTAAGAGCAAGCACTAATATAATGGTAACTATGTAACTGATATAAAACAAGAGTCACTGTCTTGGTCCATATAAAATGAGTTATGGGATGTAAGTAACAAGGATTAACAAAATGGACTGTAAACAAAGGCAAAATGCTAAATATATCTGTGGTGTCTTCACCTGTCCCATTATGACTTATTTCTGCTGTGATAACTACAGCCTCATTGTAAACAATAATTCACAGCAGAGTACTGTTTTACTCCAACAGAGGAGTTTATCAGTCAGCCATAACTATTTAAATGTACATTGTTCTGTCAGTCTCTCGAAGACCAAAATTCAAACTTGTACTGTTTAAAAACTTTCTCACCAATTTCAATACCTATATAACACTGCAGACTTGGAGGACTGATCTCATCAGAGATGCTTGCTCTGAGGGAAGCTCCAATGATGCATAATTTTGATATTAGTGAGACAATTGCCATGGGCAAGACAGTGATAGTGAGAATGATGGTGAAAGTGTTTCTTTTACGAGTAACCCTACTTCAGTGGGAGACAGCCAGCATATTAAAAAAAAAAAAAAAAGTTTCTACTAAACGTGCTTAAGATGTGATGTGATACACTACATGGTAAATTATTTGTTTATGAGATTTGACGTACTGTTGGAATGTGAGGAAAATAACATTCATGAAGGAATTCGGGAAAACCAGGTAAATGAACACAAATTCTGGAGGTGGGGAAATGGTACCTCAAAGATGAGTGAGGATGATGCAATATAGATGGTAATTTGAAATGTGGTGTCTGACCACCTCCAGCAACAATGGTGAATGTGTTTCCTACTTTATCCTACCTTGATGAAAAATGGTAGAAAAATAATAATAAAATATGTATATACTGTAGCTGCAGTTCAGAAGGTCATCTGAATTATTGTCTGCACACTTCTGGCAAGACAGCTATTGAAGAGTAATGTTGAATTTGTTTCCTTTTGTGTACAAATTTATGTGTACACATTTATCTGAGTTTTCTTGTAATTTCTTAAAACTTCTTGTTCTTATAGTACGTATTTCCTTTCATCTCTATGGGAAAGCAAAGAAGAATCTTTTCTCCATAAGCCATATATGTTGTAAAAGGTTAGTAAAATGTGGGGAGCAAGGGGCTAATAAATTACCAAAGCAAAGAAGAAAATTTTAAGGTTGGGATGTTTGAATTTGTGTGTGTGCAGGGTGTAGTATAGATGATAAGAAAGCATAGATTGTGAATATTATAAATAAAAAGAAACTGGACATCCTAGCTCTAAGTGAAACAAAACTAAAGGGGATAAGGAAATTTCAGTGGGGAAGAGTGAATGGGATTATACGTATTGGTAATATTTGAGAGAGTGAGAACAAAAGAGGCAGCAGTAATATTATATTATTAACTATGAAATGAGAAGGGGTATAGGTGTATAAATTCAAGAATTTTTGGATATGAATAAGGGTGGGATATGTGAAATGGATTATAGTAAGTGCTTATGCACCAAGGAGAAAAGTGTGCAGAGGAGAGAGATTTTGGGAGATGTTAATTAAGCAAGTGTTCAGGGAGTTCTGAACCAAGTGAAAAATAACTGCTTTGAGGGATCTAAATGCTAAAGTAGGAGAACTGCTATAAAGGGCACAGATGGTAAGTTTGGAGTGCCAGGGGTAAATGGTAATGGGGAATGACTAATGGAGTTATGTAAAGATATACGACATGGGGTGAAATGACAGCAGTTTTCAAACTATGTCTTCTTCTTTCAACAAACCAGCCGTATCCCACCGAGGCAGGGTGGCCCAAAAAGAAAAACAAACGTTTCTCTTTTTAAATTTAGTAATTTATACAGGAGAAGGGGTTACTAGCCCCTTGCTCCCGGCATATTAGTCGATTCTTACAACATGCATAGCTTATGGAGGAAGAATTCTGTTCCACTTCCCCATGGAGGTAAGACGAAATAAACAAGAACTAGAAAGAAAATAGAAGAAAACCCAGAGGGGCGTGTATATATATGTTTGTACACGTATGTGTAGTGTGACCTAAGTGTAAGTAGAAGTAGCAAGATGTACCTGAAATCTTGCATATGTATGAGACAGAATAAAAAGAAACCAGCAATCCTATCATCATGTAAAACAATTATAGGCTTTCGTTTCACACTCACTTGGCAGGACGGTAGTACCTCCCTGGGCGGTTGCTGTCTACCAACCTACTACCTAGGTTTCAAACTATGTATTAGTACTGTAGATAAAACAATGATGGGTAGCCATCAAGATGCTCACGAATTTAGACGGGCAACGGATATATTAGATAATTATGTAATGGTAGCTAGTGAGAGTAAGAAGTAAATGGGGTACAAGAAGACTGCCATCAGTGAGTAAGAAAGAAGTGAAAGTTATTAAATTAAAGGAGGACATGGTAGAGGTAAAATATTAGTAACTATTAAGAAAAAGATGGGCAAGAAAGTACAGGTAATGAGCAGGGAGTCAAACATGAACCATATAGAATAGTATAGAATTTATGAATGTGGCATCAGTGTGTGTAGCAGAAGTATGTGGGAATAGGATGGTGAGCACAGGAGGGAAGAGATTGGTGGAATGATGAGGTAACAAGGGTGGTAAGGGAGAAAGTCAGTATACAATTTTTTTTTTTTTTTGCAGTGTAGGATTCAGAAAGCTGAGAATATAGAGTTTTGAGGAGAGGTTAAAAAAATTGGTGAGGAAGTGCAAAAGGAGAGCCAGTGAGAGAGTGGTGTGGTATTATCACCAAATTTTGCTGAGTAAGACAGTTTTAATTTGATATCGGTAAGTTGAGAAAGCCTATGAAACAAATGAATTTAACATTTACAAATTACAGAGGGAAGTTATTAGTTGGGGAGGTGGAGATACTAGAAAGATGTAAGGAATATTTTGCAGAATGGATAAATGTTGTTGAACAAAGGGAGGCACTGATTTCATGCACTGGGTAGGCAAGTATAGAATCTTGTCAATGGAAGAGCGACAAGAGAGTGTGGAGTGAGTACATAAGGCAGTGAACAGAATGTAGCCTGGAGTTTACCTAGAGAGAGTTCCGGGGGTCAACGCCCCCGCGGCCCGGTCACACCTTGTGGATCAGAGCCTGATCAACCAGGCTGTTACAGCTGGCTGCACGCAATCCAACGTACGAGCCACAGCCCGGCTGGTCAGGTACCGACTTTAGGTGCTTGTCCAGTGCCTGCTTGAAGACAGCCAGGGGCCTATTGGTAATCCCCCTTACGTATCCTGGGAGGCAGTTGAACAGTCTCGGGCCCCTGACACTTATTGTATTGTCTCTTAACGTGCTAGTGACACCCCTGCTTTTCATTGGGGGGATGTTGCATCGTCTGCCAAGTCTTTTGCTTTCGTTGTGAGTGATTTTCGTGTGCAAGTTCGGTACTAGTCCGTCTAGGATTTTCCAGGTGCATATAATCATGTATCTCTCCTGCCTGCGTTCCAGGGAGTACAGGTTCAGGAACTTCAAGTGCTCCCAGTAATTGAGGTGTTTTATCTCCGTTATGCACACCATGAAGGTTCTCTGCAAATTTTCTAGGTCAGCAATTTCACCTGCCTTGAAAAGTGCTGTTAGTGTGCAGCAATATTCCAGCCTAGATAGAACAAGCGACCTGAAGAGTGTCATCATGGGCTTGGCATCCCTAGTTTTGAAGGTTCTCATTATCCATCCTGTCATTTTTCTAGCAGATGCGATTGATACAATGTTATGGTCCTTGAAGGTGAGATCCTCCGACATGATCACTCCCAGGTCTTTGACGTTGATTTTTCGCTCTATTTTGTGAAAGGAATTTGTTTCGTACTCTGATGAAGTTTTAATTTCCTCGTGTTTACCATATCAGAGTAATTGAAATTTCCCATCGTTGAACTTCATATTGTTTTCTGCAGCCCACTGAAAGATTTGGTTGATGTCCGCCTGGAGCCTTGCAGTGTCTGCAATGGAAGACACGGAGCTGTGGCTGACATCCTTGTATATGTCAGACATGAGGATGAGAAACAAGATGGGAGCGAGTACTGTGCCTTGTGGAACAGAGCTTTTCACCGTAGCCGCCTCAGACTTTACTCTGTTGACTACTACTCTTTGTGTTCTGTTTGTGAGGAAATTATAGATCCATCTACCAAGTTTTCCTGTTATTCCCTTAGCACGCATTTTGTGCGCAATTACACCATGGTCGAAGGCTTTTGCAAAGTCTGTATATATTACATCTGCATTCTTTTTGTTTTCTAGTCATCTAGGACCTTGTCGTAGTGATCCAGTAGTTGAGACAGACAGGAGCGACCTGCTCTAAACACATGTTGGCCTGGGTTAGGTAATTGATGGGTATCCAGATGGGTGGCCATCTTGCTTCTTAGGACCCTTTCAAAGACTTTTATGATATGGGATGTTAGTGCTATCGGTCTGTAGTTCTTTGCTATTGCTTTACTGCCCCCTTTGTGGAGTGGGGCTATGTCTGTTGTTTTTTAGTAACTGTGCGATGACCCCCGTGTCCATTCTCCCTCTCCATAGGATGGTAAAAGCTTGTGATAGGGGCTTCTTGCAGTTGTTGATGAACACGGAGTTCAATGAGTTTGGCCCTGGGGCAGAGTGCATGGGCATGTCATTTATCGCCTGCTCAAAGTCATTTGGCGTGAGGATAACATCAGATAGGCTTGTTTTAACCAAATTCTGTGGCTCTCTCATAAAAAATTTTTTTTGATCTTCATTTCTTTGGGTTGCGCTTGCTAAACACTGGTCATACTGGGACTTGAGTGCTCACTCTTTTCCTTGCGTCATCTGTGTGGCCCGTTTCCCCCAAAGGAGGTGGCCCAGAAAAAGAAAAACTTTCCCCATCATTCACCCATCACGTCTTGCCAAAGGGTCTTTCCACATTTTTTAAAACTGCAACATTAACACCCCTCCTTCAGAGGCAGGCACTGTACTTCCCATCCCCCGGACTCAAGTCCGGTTTTGCCGGTTTCCCTAACCCCCTTCAAAATGTTACTTTGCTCACATCCAACAGCACTCAAGTATTAAAAAATTTGTCTCCATTCATCCTTCAAACACGCTCACGTTGCCCGCTGGCATCCAAGCCCCTCGCACAAAAAAACCCCCTTTTCCCCCTTTCCCTAAACCCTTTCCTAGGCCGACCCCTACCCCCCCTTTCCCTTTCCCCTACGATTATACATCTTGAAGCACTCGTTTCGCTCCATTCTCTTACATGCCCCAACCCCCTCAAAAACCCCTTCCTCAGCCCTCTGGACAAGAGTTTTGGTACCCGACCTCCCCCTAACTTCCAAAATACGAATCTTGCATTATATTCACACCACACATTGCCTCAGACATGACATCCCCTGCCTCCAGCCTTTCCCCCCCGCGAACATTCATCATCCATGCTTCACCCCATACAAGAGCTTTGGTAAAACTATACTCTCATACATTCCCCTCTTTCCCTCCAAAAGGGACAAAGTTTTTTGTTCCACAGATCTAAGTGCACCACTCCCCCTTTTCCCCTCATCAACTATGTTTCACCTCATCTTTCATAGCCCCATCCGCTGTACCCCACCCCCAAATATCTGAATACATTCACCTCCTCCATCTCTCTCCCTCCCAATTGATATCCAATATTTCACACCTAATCTTTTTGTTATCCTCAAAACCCCCTTACTTTTCCTGAATTCATTTTTTAATTTTCTTTTTTGCATCCCCTACCAATCGCATCCACCAACTCTGCAACTTTCTTCAGATCTCCAAGAGCCAGTGTCATCAGAAAAGAGCAATTGTGAGAACTCCCACTTATGTGTATTCTTTTTTTTTTTAAAATCCAGCCTTTGCCAAGCCCCTCGCTTTATTCTCTTAAACCCCCATCTATAAATATTTTTAAACAACCACGGTGAATCCAAAAACCTTGTCAAAGGGCCCTACTTTTACGGGGAAAAATAATTTCCTTTTTTCCTACATCTTAATTGAGCCTCACACCTCGTAAAAACCTTTTCACTGCTTTCGAAACCTCCCCTCCTACCCTACACCTGCAACATTCCCACTTTGCCCCCCTACCACCCGTCAACCTTTTTTCCCAAATCAAAAAAGACAAAGACCTCTTTGCCTTATCAAAATCTGTTCACTTATATTTTCCTGTAACCCCGGTCCACACACCCCCAAAACCTTTCCTAAAGCTCCTTGTTCATCCTATCCTATTCTCCGTCTTACAAAGTAACGTTTTTTAGATAAGTCAAAGAGGTCTTTGTGGATTTTTGGATTTAGAAAGGCATATGCAGGGAGTAGAGGGGCAATGTGGCGATGTTGCGGTGTAGGGTAGGAGTAGGTTACTAAAAGCAGTGAAGGTTTTAAAAGGGTAGTGAGGCTAAGTTAGATTTTGTAGGAAAGGGGGAATTTTTTTCCTAGAAAAAGTGGGCCTTAACAAGGATGTGTGATGTCACCGGGTTGTTTAAAATTTTTAAATGGGGTTGTAAGAGAAGAAAATGGAGGGTTTTGGCAAGAGGTTTTGTGGAGTTAAAAGATAAAGAATCACACATAAAGTGGGAGTTCTCCAGTTGCTCTTTGCTGATGACACTGTTCTCTTGGGAGTTTCTAAAGAGAAGTTGCGAGATTGGTAAAATGAATTGGTAGGGGGCAAAAGAAGAAAATTAAAAGTGAATACGGGAAAGAGTAAGGTTACGAGGATAACAAAAAGATTAGGTGATAAAAAGATTGGATACAGATTGGAGGGAGAGAGTACGGAGGAGGTAAAAATGTATTCAGATTTTTGGGGAGTGGAGTGTCATGGAGGGTTAAAAAAGATGGGTGAATCATAAATTGATGAGGGGAAAAGGGTGTTTTGGGGGGCACTTGGGTCTTGGGGAAAAAAAGAACTTTGTCCTTGGAGGCAAAGAGGGGAATGTGTGAGAAAAATATTTTTCCAATGCTTTTATATGGGTGTGAAGATGGGTGAGATGTTGCAGCGAGGGAAGGTGGGGGAGTGGGTTGTCTGTCTGAGGGCAATTTTGGGTGTGATTAAAACAAGAATTCTATTTGGAAAGTTAGGGGGGTGGGTTTCCCAAAAAACTTTTTCCCAAGAGGGCGGGAAGGGTTTGTTGAGGTGGTTCGGACATGTAAGGAAGGGGAAAAAAACAAGTGACTTCAAGAGTGTCGAGTCTGTAGTGGAAGAGGGGGGATAGGGGTGGCCTGGGAAAGGTTGGAGGGAAGGGGTAAAGGGGGGTTTTGTGTGCAGGGCTTGGCTGCCGCAGGCTTGGTGAGGTGTTATAGGAGTGAATGGAGACAAAGGGTTTTAAAATACTTGAGTGCTTTTGGGTGTGAGCAAAGAAAAATTTTTTAAAGGGGGTTCGGGGAAAACCCGGCGGGCCCGGACTTGATCCTGGAAGGGGAAGTAAGTGCCTGCACTCTGAAGGAGGGGTTTATGTTGCAGTTAAAAACTTGTGTAAAGCACCCTTCTGGCAAGCAGTGATGGAGTGAATGAGGGTGAAAGTTTTTTTTTTCAGGCTGCCCTGCCCTCGGGGAATCGGCCATGTGTAATAAAAAAAATTTATTAATATAATTTTTAACATAATATAAATTTTATTTTATTTATTTATTTATTTTTTTTAAGGAACCCCCCTTAAAGGGAAAGTTGTTCCAGAAGCAAAAATCGACCGAAGACTGTTCATACCTAAAAATTAATGGGGGGGCGTTCATAAGCCAAGGTTTCCCTTGAAAGGGCCTGACTTGAAAAAGGGGTTTAAATGATTTTGCAGACAAAAGTTATTTGAGCTTGATGTTGGCAGCTTCTGGCAAGACAGTGTTTGAATAATACTGTGAAAGTGTTTTTCTTTTTCAGGTCACTTCCCCAAGTATCATTGGGTTTGGTAGACAGCAACCCCCCAGGGAGGTACTCCGCCCCTCCAAAGTGATGTAAAACAAAGCCTGTAATTTTTTTTCGATGGTAGGATTGTGGTGTTTTTTTCTGTCTTAAACATGAAAGTTTTTCGGTACACTTGCTACTTTCTACTTAAACTTGGGTCACATTACACATCTGTAAAAGCGAAATATTCATCCCCCCTGGGTTTTTTTTTAATTTCTTTTTAGTTCTTTTCTTTTTATTTCCTCTTTCTCCATGGGGAAGTGGAACAGAATTCTTCCCCCGTAAGCCCTGCTTTTTGTGGGGGGCGACTAAAAGCCGGGACAAGGGGCTAGTAACCCCTTTCCCGTTATATTTTAAAATTTGAAAGGAGAAACTTTGTTTTCCCTTTGGGGCCCCCCCCCGTCGGTGGGATACGGCCCGGTGTGTTGAAAAAAAAGAAAGATACCTATTGATAGGGGCCCCAAATTGTATATAAAAAAAAATCCCCAAACGTGTTAAATCTAACACCCAATGATGTGCATTTCCCAAAACAAAATACTACTGGGTGTAAAATAATAAAGAATTAATAAAAAAGAATAAATGAAATTTTGTTTTTTTTTATTTTTTTTATTTATTTATTTACACAATACTTTTTCTCAGAAATCCACACAGTTGGGAAAGACAATTAAAATTTAAGGAATTTTTTTACACTGGGCAACTCTCCCAGGTATGGCAACTGAAAAAAAAAAAGAAACACTTTCAAGTCATTTTTTGATCGCTGTCTTGCCAGAAGTGAGGATATCTAACTTCACGGGAAAAAAAAATACACCTTAAGATTAGAGCGCCTTTACGAATAAAATTCAGCGTTCAATATACATTACTTGGGGAATTTAAAATATTCTAAAAGTTTATTAAAAAATTCGCTGTAACTACTTACATGGAAGAGCTGTTTTTCCATGGTGCAGTCAAAAAAGAAAAATGACCCGTCCTGCCTTTAAAACAACGCCCTGGTGAAAAGGGTCTATGCATGCCAGCTGGGAAAAGGGTTCAGCATTATCTGTATTCATGGCAAGTCTTGGAAACCCCCTTCTGCCTTGTACTTCTTTCAGAAATAATACAAATGTGAAGAAAAAAATGTGGTTTTATTTTTTTTTAAATTTTGTCCATACCTAATAATATTCCAAAATACATAGAACATCCAGTATCAGCAAAATTTTCAACAACCTCTCCCCATTTTTATATTTTCCATTAACCCCTTTTAGGGTCGAAGACCCTTCAGAAAAATCGTTTCAGGGTCGGCCAAATTTAAAAAAAAAAAAAAAAAATTTCTTTGAAAAGAAAGAATCTTTTCCCGTCTAATGACACCAAAATTATGGATTTTATGGAAAACTTTCGGAATTATGCTCTTTTGAATTAGCAGTCCGGCGATGTTTACGCATCGGCGATTTTGCCCAATTTTGAGCCCATTTTCGGCCCAATTCCCTGTACTAGTCGACAAAAAACATGAATTTTCGCTAGAACTAATTTTTTCTATTGAATGAGTGCAAAGAAACCCCCCATTTACCATTTAATATCCAATAAGTGGTCAGAAAATTTTGCAATTTTGCCAATTTTACACAAATTTCAAAAAAAGCCAATTTCCGATGGGTCCAGAACAAACAAGAAAAAACATTCCGGCACAAAAAGACATTTCTTCTGTTCATTATCACATTTTAAAAAGGGCCCCCCTTACATTCTTTTGTTTCCACTTTGAATTTTTATTCTCACGAAAAAAAGAAAATTTACTGTTATGCAGATACTGCATTAGTGTAAAAAATGGAAAAAATATATTTGGGCACTTGCAAAAGAAAGTTGACTCACCATTACATGTATTGGCCTTTGGGAGATTTGTTTACTTTTGAACTTTTGGGAAAAAAACGAACATTTCTGTTACTTTGAGCTCAATTTTAAGGGACTTTTCATTTTTAAAACCCGTGAAAAACATCTCCTTTTTTGTGATATGCATTCCTTCTATAAAATGGACCAAAAAAAATAGAATAAACAAAAAATACCATACGAAAATACAGTGCAAAGTCCTGTTTTATGCCAAAAAAAAAAAAGAAAAATTTTTTTTTTCTCATTTTGCACTGTGTTTCTGCAGGGGTTTTTTTTATACTGTGCACCCTGACCCCATAGACCCATTCTTTCATATGGAGGCCTACCAGCCTTTTCCCGCGAGATTTGACGGCGCTAGAATTTATGCGTACTACTACGTCAAAAACCCCTGCGCTTAAGACGTACTAGTACGTCCGAAACCCTCAAAGGGTTAATACATCTCTCCATTCCTCGCAAGAAACTTAAAAAATTTATCTATGAATCAAAGTAGATGAAATTTTTCCCATATCTTTAGTGTTTAACTTACCATTAATTTTTGCTGTGTAAAATAAGCAGTGCATTTGATTAAAAACCTTTTCCATAATTTACTAAAATAAAACATCAATTCAATTACAGAATTTATCATCATCAACTAGAAACTACAGTAAAGAAACACTGGTAAATAGGCTACAGAATTGCGACTGGACAGAGAAAACAAGTTGCACAGATGAAATGATGCCTGGGAAAAATTCAAAACAATGTTCACTGCCATCCTTGATAATATTGCACCAGTTCAAGAGGTTAGGATTAAACAGAGAACTGAACCCTGGGTGACTACTGAGATATTAGATAATATGAAATTCAGAGACCGGTTGCTAAAAAGATTTAAAGCAAACAGACAGGATATTGCAGTGCTAAATGAATTCCAAAGGGTTACGAACAGAGTGCAGAGGCTAATAAAAAAAGCAAAGGCATGGCACTATTGCTCAAAAATTGAAGAGTACAAGAATAACCCTAGAAAGCTCTGGCAACAACTAAAACAGCTGGGGTGTAGCCATAAACCAGTAGATAGATCGAACATAATGCTAAATATCGATAACAAGGTATGCCACGAAACAACTTAATTGGCAAATTGTTTTAATTCATACTACACAACTGTCGCATCAGCAGTAGTAAGTAAACTACCAGCTGCATCAAATACCTTTAACACAAATTCTGATAAGTTTAAAACATACTATACCAATAAAGGGGTAACCCCAAACAGTTGTCAATTAGTAAGTGTATCTCATGACTTTGTGCAAAAAGAACTAAGCAGGTTAAACCCAGCTAAGAGCACTGGCCCATACAACATCTTGTCTAAGTTCCTAAAAGACGGTGCCTCTGAATTGCCAATCCCCATTGCTCACATAGTAAATTTGTCCATCACCACCAATACAGTACCAGAGGGGTTCAAGGAGGCCAGAGTTACTCCTATCTTCAAGAAAAATAGTAGGTCTGATGTCAGCAACTATAGGCCTGTTAGTATACTCAGCGTAATATCCAAAATTCTAGAGGGCAGTGTACTGTCAAGTAGTTAAGTACCTTAATGACAACATTCTTCATAGTTACCAATCAGGTTTTAGGGGATCTTACTCAACCAACACCTCCCTAATTAATCTGATGAATTCCATGAGAACTGAAATGTCGATAGGGAATTCATATGAATGGTAACCTTAGACTTGCAAAAGGCCTTTGATACTGTAAACCACTATACAGTGGACCCTCGGGTAACGCCTTTAGCCGAATTAATTTTCCCCAAAAGAAATAATGGAAATCCAATTAATCCGTTTCAGACAGCTAAAAGTACTAACAAAAAATATTTTTTTTAAAGATTAAATATAAATATACATACAGAAAACAATGACAAATAAATATAAAGCACTAATAAAATGGAAAAATGAACATTTAACATCACACTTACCTTTATTGACTTGACTTGACTTGTTGGTGTATGGTAGACATGTAGGAGGCAAGAGGAAGGCAAGTTTATTATGCTTCAGTATGATGCTAATATCTCTACGGTTTATTTATCTACCACAATTCATCTAATACGACAATATAAACAATATTAATAACAAAGAAACATGATATATACTCTAGAATGAATAAAATGTCATAATGGATAAGAGGAGTAAATGGTGTAAGTGTTGCTGATGGGTTTATAAGGGTCACTGAGAGAAACCATACATAATGGTGGTGGCGGAGCACCAGCAGAACCCACCACCACTATCACACTTAATGAATGTAGCATGTAATTGATACATAAGAAAGATTTACATTTTAATTTATAAATATGAAATATTTACACTTTAATTTATAAATAAGTAAGTTTATTCAGGTATACACAAATACAATTACATATACACACATACATAGCAGCATATGCGTAAAGTACCAAGGATAACCCAAAAAAGTCCGGGTGACTTACGTATTTTCCATTGGGGTCCTTTTATATTTACACTGATATTTCTTTCTTTCTTCTTTCAACACACCGGTCGTATCCCACCGAGGCGGGGTGGCCCAAAAGAAAAAACGAAAGTTTCTCCTCCTATATTTAGTAATATATACAGGAGAAGAGGTTACTAGCCCCTTGCTCCCGGCATTTTAGTCACCTCTTACATCATGCATGGCTTAAAGAGGAAAAATTCTGTTCCACTTCCCCATGGAGGTAAGAGGAAATAAACAAGAACAAGAACTAGAAAGAAAATAGAAGAAAACCCAGAGGGGTGTGTATATATATACTTGTACATGTATGTATAGGTAGTAGGTTGGTAGACAGCAACCAACCAGGGAGGTACTACCGTCCTGCCAAGTGAGTGTAAAACGAAGCCTGTAATTGTTTTACATGATGGTAGGATGCTGGTGTCTTTTGTCTGTCTCATAAATATGCAAGATTACAGGTATGTCTTGCTACTTCTACTTACACTTAGGTTACACTACACATACACGTTTATTTATACACACTCATCTGAGTTTTCTTTGATTTTATCTTAATAGTTCTTGGTAATGCAGCAGCGAGGAGACGGTTGGAGGCAGTGGAGATGTCCTGTCTAAGGGCAATGTGTGGTGTAAATATTATGCAGAAAATTCGGAGTGTGGAAATTAGGAGAAGGTGTGGGGTTAATAAAAGCATTAGTCAGAGGGCAGAAGAGGGGTTGTTGAGGTGGTTTGGTCATTTAGAGAGAATGGATCAAAGTAGAATGACATGGAAAGCATATAAATCTATAGGGGAAGGGAAAGAGGGGTAGGGGTCGTCCTCGAAAGGGTTGGAAAGAGGGGTAAAGGAGGTTTTGGGGGCGAGGGGCTTGGACTTCCAGCAAGCGTGCATGAGCGTGTTAGATAGGAGTGAATGGAGACAAATGATACTTGGGACCTGACGATCTGTTGGAGTGTGAGCAGGGTAATATTTAGTGAAGGGATTCAGGGAAACCGGTTATTTTCATATAGTCGGACTTGAGTCCTGGAAATGGGAAGTACAATGCCTGCACTTTAAAGGAGGGGTTTGGGATATTGGCAGTTTGGAAGGATATGTTGTGTATCTTTATACGTATATGCTTCTAAACTGTTGTATTCTGAGCACCTCTGCAAAAGCAGTGATAATGTGTGAGTGTGGTGAAAGTGTTGAATGATGATGAAAGTATTTTCTTTTTGGGGATTTTCTTTCTTTTTTGGGTCACCCTGCCTCGGTGGGAGACGACCAACTTGTTGAAAAAAAAAAAAAAAAAAAAAGTTCTTGGTCTTATTACTTTTCCTTTTATATCCATGGGGAAGTGGAATAAGAATCTTTCCTCAGTAAGCCATGCATGTTGTAAAAGTCAACTAAAATGCCAGGAACAATGGGCTAGTAACCTCTTTTCCTCTAAAGATTACTAAAAAGAATAATAAGAAGAAAATTGTCAAAGTGGGAAGTCTGAATGTATGTGGATGTTGTGCAAATGATAAGAAAGAGATGATTGTGGATGTTATGAATGAGAAGAAGCTGGAAGTCCTGGCTTTAAGTGAAACAAAGCTGAAAGGGGTGGGAGAGTTTCAGTGGAGAGGAATAAATGGGATTAGGTCAGGGGTTTCAAACAGAGTTAGAGCTAAAGAAGGAGTAGCAATAATGTTGAAGGATAAGATATGGCAGGAAAAGAGGGACTATAAATGTATTAATTCAAGGATTATGTGGAGTAAAATAAAGGTTGGATGTGAAAAGTGGGTTATAGTAAGCATATATGCACCTGGAGAAGAGAGAAGTGTAGAGGAGAGAGAGAGAGATTTTGGGAAATGTTGAGTGAATGCGTGGGGAGTTTTGAACCAAGTGTGAGAGTACTGGTGGTTGGGGATTTCAATGCTAAAGTGGGTAAAAATGTTGTGGAGGGAGTAGTAGGTAAATTTGGGGTGCCAGGGGTAAATGTAAATGGGGAGCCTTTAATTGAGCTATGTGTAGAAAGAAGGGTGGGATTAAATTATGGGGAATCAAATACAAAATGGAAAGTGACACAGTTACTTTTTGCTGATGATACTGTGCTTATGGGTGGTTCTAAAGAAAAATTGCAGAGGTTAGTGGACGAATCTGGGAGTGTGTGTAAAGGTAGAAAGTTGAAAGTGAACACAGGAAAGAGGAAGGTGATGAGGGTATTAAATGATCTAGATAAAGAAAAATTGCATATCAAATTGGGGAAGAGGAGTATGGAAGAAGTGAATGTTTTCAGATATTTAGGAGTTGACGTATCAGCGGATGGATTTATGAAGGATGAGGTTAATCATAGAACTGACGAGGGAAAAAAGGTGAGTGGTGCGTTGAGGTATATGTGGAGACAAAGAATGTTATCTATGGAGGCAAAGAAGGGAATGTATGAAAGTATAGTGGTACCAACACTCTTATATGGGTGTGAAGCTTGGGTTGTAAATGCTGCAGCGAGGAGGCAGTTGGAGGGCTGAAGAGGGGTTGTTGAGGTGGTTTGGTCATTTAGAGAGAATGGATCAAAGTAGAATGACATGGAGAGCGTATAAATCTGTAGGGGAAGGAAGACGGGGTAGGGGTCGTCCTCGAAAGGGTTGGGGGGAGGGGGTAAAGGAGGTTGTGTGGGCGAGGGGCTTGGACTTCCAGCAAGCGTGTGTGAGCGTGTTAGATAGGAGTGAATGGAGACAAATGGTATTTGGGACCTGACGAGCTGTTGGAGTGTGAGCAGGGTAATATTTAGTGAAGGGATTCAGGGAAACCGGTTATTTTTATATAGCCGGACTTGAGTCCTGGAAATGGGAAGTACAATGCCTGCACTTTAAAGGAGGGATTTTGGAATATTGGCAGTTTGGAGGTATATGTTGTGTATCTTTATATGTACAGTGGACCCCCGCATAACGATCACCTCCGAATGCGACCAATTATGTAAGTGTATTTATGTAAGTGCGTTTGCACGTGTATGTTTGGGGTCTGAAATGGACTAATCTACTTCACAATATTCCTTATGGGAACAAATTCGGTCAGTAAATGGCACCTGAACATACTTCTGGAGTGAAAAAATATTGTTAACCGGGGTCCACTGTATATACTTCTAAACTGTTGTATTCTGAGCACCTCTGCAAAAACAGTGATTATGTGTGAGTGAGGTGAAAGTGTTGAATGATGATGAAAGTATTTTATTTTTGGGGATTTTCTTTCTTTTCGGGTCACCCTTCCTCAGTGGGAGACGGCCGACTTGTTAAAAAAAAAAAAAATTGAGTATTTACTGAGTAAAAGACTAAGCAAAATTGTTCTAATTTGATTATGAATTAAACAAAATAATATCAGTTAAATGTTCTAAGAATACAATATGACTGTTCTGTAGCACGTTACCTTTTCTGTAATCCATAAACTACCTCTCGTATATACCTTGTACCCAATAAACTACTCTTCCCTATATTCCTTGAAAATAACTAAGACCCTCCTATACATACCATTATCCTTTTGAGCTGTTACAATGTAAGTGTTTGTAATATCTGTAACCACAAATCTGATATGCATGCCCAGGCGAGGAAGGAAGCTCCGTTTCTCTTCTGAAAGCTGCCACTTCACAAGTACTTTTTCCTCTCCCCCACTGTACAACTCTTTTCCTGTAAAAGTGGGGGAAAAACTAGGAGTCCTGTAAACTTCCCCAATACCTTTAAAATTTGGGGGAGACCCGAAAAAAAATGCTGGGGCCAAAATTCTAAATGTAAAAGAAGAAAACTTTTCATTTTTCTTTTTGGCACCTTGCTTGGTGAAATTGACCAGTTGTGGTGCCGACTTATTGAAACACAGGCAGTTTTGTACCATTTTGTATGCAATCTCGGCTTCCTGACAACTTCACTTGGTAAAATTAGTTTTTTCTTTTTTCTTTTGTAACTTTTCTAAATGTACAAAAAATTTAGGGATATAAATTTAAATTCGGGGTGTAATCCCCGGGAAAACAGGGAAAGCAATCTGTATGATTTTCTTTGGGTATCCTGGGTAAAAAAAAACCCAATATTATGTAATGTACTTAGAACCCCCAAATGTATGCCCTCAAATATGACAAAAGAACTGGTCTGATATCACTAAAACGAACGTCACACTGTTTAACATTCTTGGGTTATCCCGGGTAAAAAAGTACATAATAATTACTTTGAAAGTTCTTTTTTAAAGCACTAACTTTTGCAAAAGCCCAAAACCCCCGTAAAGTAAACTTTTTATGTGACAACCCCTATTTTTCGTAAAATCCCCGGTGAGTGAAAAACTCTCTCAGTTAAAGATGTCCAGGGTTTTTACATGCACTTATTTTTAAAAGGAACAGATTAGTTAAATGAGGCTGTAAGGAATTCCTAAGGAATACTGTAATATTAAATTAATTTCTTCAATTAAGCGCTCTTCAAAAGACACTGCATTAACCCTTTCAGGGTCCAAGGCCCAAATCTGGAGTCACGCACCAGTGTCCAAAATATTTCAAAAAAAAAAATTTGTTATTTTTTCTTATGAAATCGTAGAGAATCTTTTTGTGAAGGTAATAAAACAAAAAGTACGAAAATTGGTGGAAAATTGACGAAATTATGCTCTCGCGAATTTTGATGTGTCAGCGATATTTACGAATCGGCGATTTTGCCGACTTTGACTCCCATTTTAGGCCAATTACATTATTCCAATCAACCAAATTCTTAGCTATTTCACTAGTATTACTTCTATTCTATCGATTGAGCACAAGAAATCACCAAGTCAACTGTTTCAACTACAAAATAAAGTGATCGGAAATTGTTATTTGGCCAATTTAACACAAAGTTCAAAATATTCCAATTTCAAAATAGGGTCCAGAATGAACAATGTAGGCATTCCTGGCACTAAACTAACATTTCCTCTGTTCATTAGTTATGTTTTGAGGCTTTACAAATAAATTCCATTTTGATTTTTTATTCACATAATGAATTTTTATTCACACCAAAAAATAGAAGATTTACTGTTATGCAATACTGTAATAATTGTATAAATATCATCACCATATTTGTGAATGTATATTAGACCCACCAGCTGATGTGTATTAGACATGTGAGGTTGTTTGTTTACTCTTGAATATCGGCAAAAATTTAACATTTCCGCTACTTTGAGCTCAGTTTCAAGCCATTTCCAATGCTTAAAGACCAATCAAAATATCTCTATTTCTGTAATATGTCTTCCATTCTATCAAATGAGACCAAGAAATCGCAAATACAACTATAAAAAACATACGAAAAAACACTGCAAAGTTGCTGTTTTAATCGAAAAATCATGATTTCATTTTTTTTCTCTCATTATCCACAGTGTGCTGCAGGATCTGTTTTATGTGGTGCACACATACCACATAGATGTATTCTCTCATATCTAGGCCCAAATGTACCACTCACAGTTTATCAGAGTGAGCTGAGCTCATGGCGTAGATCTACGGTTTGGACCCTGAACGTAAAGCCGTAGATCTACGGGACGGACCCTGAAAGGGTTAAACACAGTGGATAAATTAGAGGACGTTCAAGAACAGTTCAGAGCGAGAGAATGTCAGTCAAGTTAAATACCCAGGGAAAAATTATGTTAGGATTCACTGTCTACATTTAATATATAGTACTGCAGTCATATAATACGCAGAATGAAAAATGGGCTATCAAACTAACCTGTGACAGAAAATGCAAGATCAGCCACGGGCAGATAATGCCAGTGGAGTTCCATTTTTGTTGGTTTGGGACTCTTGATTTCATACCAGATAAGAATACGTCCAGTGATATCCCCTGTTGCTAGTGCATCTTGTGAGGGGTGGAAGGTCACACAAGTCAAATAACGAGTGCCAACTGTATGTCTAAGATTGCAAATGAAAAAAAGCAATGAAGAATTAATAATCAAATGCTTGGAGACAATATTCACTAATTTCTACAATAAAGTAAAAATACACAAATAACCCACACATAAAAGAGAGAAGCTTACGACGACATTTCGGTCCGACTTGGACCATTGACAAAGTCACGAAACGGACCGAAACGTCGTCGTAAGCTTCTCTCTTTTATGTGCGGGTTATTTGTGTATCGTTCCAGTCACGGTATTGTGCCTTTTTTGTTATTTATAAAGTAAAAAATTTGTTCAATAATGGATGTTATTTAAATTTTACAATTTTATTCCTACAAAATAGTAAAACGATTTGTACTTCACCTTCTTCGGGTATGTCCTCCAACAACATAAAGTGCTTCTGGATATACATACGCTACATGATCCCCTGATACTGACACAGCAATCTACAAGGAACAAAAAACAAACACTAAAGTTAATCCTGTTTTGCTGCTACATTGTATTTTTTATAGGGTCTCAAATTAAATGATGAAATATATTAACAATTTATGAGCTGCAACAAAATTCACACCGAGTACTATACCTTGTTTGGCTCCAGCGGAACATCTTTAGAAATAATAACAAACTTTTTAGGCTTGTATGGATAAAAGTATTTGCGCAACTGTCCCTTCTGCTGTTTCTCCTCCTGCGTTACTATAAACAGCTCTCCACCCTTGCCACAAAAAGGCAATGACGCAATTCTAAACTTCTTATCTTCTTTGGTATATAGGGTGAATTTCTGAAAATATTTTTTTTTATCAAAACCACTGGAATCAAGCATTCAGAATAAAATATAGCCATTCAAAACCTTATCAACCTCCTCCTTACCTCCAAGGATTTCCTATCCTGATGAGACCAGAAACACACCAAACCATTTTCATCACATGATATAAACTGGTCCTTTTTAGTTTTTGATGATATCACCCCAACAACCTGAAAACATTGAAATATTACTTATGGCATTATCATTACAGAATATTTTGAAAAACAATAAACCTCACCTTTACTGTCAAACATCTTAAATCAAAGGATTGTTTCCAAACAGGTAGGTTATGGGCTACACCCTCACCTCTCAAATTTTGCAAGAAATTGTTACGTCATTATGATGACAATATAAATATAAATAATAATAAAGTAATACTTAATTGCTGTAGTCAGTTTTGGGGAATTGCCTGATCTCATAATACACATGTCTAACAACTATGCATTTGACATCAGTAAGCTCTGAAAATTTTAAGCCTTTCACTGTCTCATCCATAGATCTACATCAGTGATGTAGATCTATGGATCACTTACATAGATCTATAGTTTGTGCTTAGCTCCCTCAGGTAAGCTTTGAGCTATAAATTTTGGCCTAGACATGAGAGAATTAATCTGTGCAGGAAGTGTGCATGACATAAAAAAAAAAAATCGTGCCTCATGCAGTGCATGATGGGGAAATGCAAACCTTTGACCTTGTGTTTGGTTTAACCCTTTGACTGTCGCAACCCCCAATCCTGAGGTGTCTCCTGGTGTCGCAAAATTTAAAAAAAAAAAAAATTATTTTTTCTTATGAAATGATAGAGAATCTTTTCCCGATTGTAATGACACCAAAAAAACAAAATTTGATGGAAAACTGACAGAATTATGCTCTCGCGAAGTTAGCGACCTCAGCGCTGTTTACAAATCGGCAATTTCGCCCACTTTGAGCCCTATTTTCAGCTAATTCCATTATTCCAGTCGCCCAAACTCATAGCTATTTCTTTAGAACTCTATTTTTTCTATCGATTGAGTACAAGAAACTGCCCATTTACCGATTTAAAACTACCTAATAATGTGGTCAGAAATTTGCAAATTGGCCAATTTCACGAAAACTAAAAAATATTACAATTTCAAAATAAGGTCCAGAATGAACATTGCAGACATTCCTGGCTCTAAAATAACATTTTCTTTGCTCATCAGTCATGTCTCCAGGCCCCTCTAATATTACTCTTGCTTTCTATTTTAAATTTTTTTATTCAAAAAAAAAAATAGAAGACTTACTATTATGCAGACTACTGCAATACTGTAATAATTGTATAAATAACATCAACCCATTCATGACTGCATATTAGAATGGCTAGTTGGACATTTATTGGACAATGGCATCATTTGTTTACTTTTGAACATTGGCAAAAATCAAACATTTCCCCAACTTTGAGCTCCATTTCTAGGTTCTTTTTATAGGAAAATCAATCAAAATCACCCTCTATTTCTATAATATGTTTTCCATTCTATCAAATGAGACCAAGAAAACGAGAATACAACAATAAATACTATACGAAAATAGACCACAAAGTCGGCATTTTAATTAAAAAAAAATGGTCGGAGTTTTTTTTTTATCATTATGCACTGCGTGCTCCAGGATTTTTTTTATATTGTGCAAACTGACCACACAGACCCATTCTCTCACATGTGGGCCTACCAGCTTTCTCCTGCTTGATTTGAAGCCGCTAGAATTTATGAGTATATATACGTCAAACACGGTACCTCGTAAGACGTATATATATGGCCGCGACAGTCAAAGGGTTAAACTAGCAACTCTGAGGTGTTTTCTATAATAGTTTGTATGGTTTTATAGGCTGTTTCTTGGCATTAATTGTTAGAATGGAAGACATACTGCTGAAAGAGATGAATTTTGCTGGTTTCAGGATTGGATGTAGCTGAAAATCAGGTTCAAAGAAGCAGGAATATTAAATCTTTGATGATTTTCTTGAGGATGGATAAGGCTCTCCCTGGTCTGTTTTGTGGGTTTTTATTGGTCTGATTAAATTACTGGGATGCCATATACCATGACCAATCACTCCTGGTTATATTTTATTATCTAAGAAGTAGAATAAATCTTCTGCTTTTGTGTGATTAAGAATTCAAAATGGAAGACAAGTGTAATATAGGAGAGCCTGGAGATATGACTAATGAACAGAGAAAATATTGTTTTAGTGTCACAGGAATGTGTACATTGTTTATTTTTGACTGTTTTTAAATACTACTATGTATTTTTTTTATTTTATGTAAAAGTGACCAAATTATTGATTTCTGTGCACTTTATATGGTAGCTGAATGGGCAGTTTCTTGTGCTCAATCAATAGAACAGAAGGCATACTAATGAAATAGCTAAAAATTTGGACAAACTGAGAAATGGAATTGGCTTAAAACAGGACTCAAATTGGGCAAAATCATCAATATGTAAATTCCACTGAGACAGCCTGCATAATTCTGCAAATTTTCCATTAAAGCTCATACTTTTGGTGTCTTCACCAAAAACATTCTTTACCATTTCACTTACAGCAATGTTAATTTCAGGGGTCTGGAGAGTGAAAGGCTTAAATACCCTGTATACAATACCTTTCACTGTTGATCCAGAGGTAAACATATGACTCACAGTTTGCTCTCTCTGATACTGATTGACAAAAGAAATGCATTTACATTCTATAATAAAATTTGTTACCCCATTAAACATTAAGCAAATTATTATTACATACATGTATATTATTATTGTGTAGAAATGTAAACTCCATAAACCTAAGTGAAACTTGATTCAAGAAAGCACAATTTTAAAAACAAAGGCCAGTTGAAATTACCAGACACACCACCAACTTTTGATTAAAAATATTTCCTTCTTTAGTGCCATCAATCACTGTCAGAGCACTATACTTGAAAATCCCACTGCTATATTTGTAGTGGGATACAAAATATTACAAGACTGCACAGAGGTGTAAATGAAATTGCCATCACAGAAGATATTGGAATGCATTACAGTATATAGACGTGAAAGTCAGGAACAATATCAGTTGCATCTTCGAAAAGATGGAATTGACAAGAAACTACAAGGACAAGAACTATTAAGTAGAAGGAAACCTGGATGAGCGATATACATATACACATACTTGTACAATAGCTCGTGTAGTGCATAATGGGTGTAAGTAGTAAGAGCAGGCTGTGAACTCATACTCCAAGTAATTTTAGCAATTCATCTTGAACCTTCTACAGCAATCCCTTTCTAGGAGGCATTCCTTCTTTTCTTTTTCTCTAACTCTATCCATGCTAGCTTCAGAACTCTCAAGTTCTGAAGCTAGTAATTTATAAAAAAAAGTCTAAGAAATTTAAAAGGTGTGCCATAATGCAAAATATAAATGTGACCTACCTGAGCATCATGGTAACAACGTTCTTCCAGAAGGCTTCCGCTAGTGGTACTAAATACCTTGATAGAATTCCCTGAGCCTGTGAGTAAATATCTGAAAATAAGGAAATGGTATAAATATTTATGCATTCAAATATTCATATCTACCATTAACAACAGATTAATGTTTTTATAAGTCCTAGGCACTCTCACAGATATACAGGAGGGCCCTGCTTATATAGTAGGTTAGGTCCCAGGCTACTTCTGTAAAGTGAATCACTTTGAAATGCATATAAAAGCAAGATAACATGTTTACACCATCAAATATTAACCCTTATTATTATTATTATAATCAAAAAGAAGTGCTAAGCCACAAGGGCTATACAGCATATTAACCCTTAAACTGTCCAAACGTAGATCTACTTTTTATTTACATGCTTTCCAATGGGAAAAATAAAGGTTGGAGCGCTACGCACGTGAACATAGATCTACGTTTGGACAGTTTAAGGGTTAAGTGAGCAAAAAAAGCCTCTCATTATTAGCGACAAACTCATTTACCGATGACTCGGACTTACAAAGGCTCTCTGACCAGTATGCATACCTAAATAATGTGTATTAGAGCTGATTTCCTTTATTCTGTTTATTCAAGTAGTATACAGTGCACAACTGTATAAACATTTAAAAATATACTAAAAATGTTATAAATGGTGCAAACGTGACAATATCAAAGATGGTTGACGCAAACCCTCTACCATTACAGTATGCTCCTTGCTTAGTGACGCATTCGTTTACTGATGTGGTCTTAGGAATGGAACTCCGTCGTTAAGTGAGGAGAGGCTGTATGTGTAAAAAAAAAAAAAAAATTCCGGTTATTACTTCCTACTGTTATTGTTGGGTTTAAGGGTTGCGCTGGCGTATGGGGCTCTGTGTCCGGTTCACTGCTATTTAACAAAATTTTATTTAAATACAAAATTAAAATAAAGCATCATTTCCCTTGCCTTTCAAACAAAAATACGAGTTTAATTAACAACTAAATCAACACACACATTGTATATGAAATATGTACAGTAGGGCCCTGCCTTACGGCGTTCCGCTAATACGGCGATCTCAAATTATGACCAAAACTTTCTATACAGCAAGCGGTCTTTCAAATACGGCACACGCCACCCTGTTTGTTTACGTTCTCCATGAGCACATCTGTATTATGTAATAGCAATCACTCTTGGGCACATTATATGTCTAATTTTACATCAATATAGAGATTTTCATTAATCCATCTGTGATATTTTCTTCAAAATTATATAAGAACATATTACATAGCATATAACATTTTATGTTTATATACTATGGAGGTGTGGTAGGCAGGTGGAGGGAAAATATTACGTCACTCCCTTAATACATAACGCTTTTGTTTACAATTTTCGGCATAAATTATTCATTACTTCTCCCTTTGTTTATGATGGCATCTAAGATAGTTGTTAGAAACGATTAAACTAAGTGAACATGGTATGTCAATGGTAATAATATGGATCTGGGCTACATTAAATATCATGTAGCTATCTAGGTAGGTGTAGGTATGTACCCCGGGCAGACTACATACCTACATTATTATTATTATTATAATCATGGGGAAGCGCTAAACCGTAGGATTATACAGCGCATGTGGGGGGTGGAAGGTATTCAGACTCAATTCAGGGAACCGGAGCACAGACCAATTTCCTAGATCAAGAGCCCCTCACCAGCATCAAGGAACCTCCCTTGAAAGGACCCACATTTATTATTATAATTGATAATTATATTGTATAATAGGAGAGTTAGAGGTATTGGGAAGATGGAGGGAATATTTTGAGGAATTGTTAAATGTTGATGAAGATAGGGGAAGCTGTGATTTTGTGTATAGGACAAGGAGGAATAACATCTTGTAGGAGTGAGGAAGAGCTAGTTGTGAGTGTGGGGAAGTTCGTGAGGCAGTAGGTAAAATGAAAGTGGGTAAGGCAGCCGGGATTGATGGGATAAGGATAGAAATGTTAAAAGCAGGTGGGGATATAGTTTTGGAGTGGTTGGTGCAATTATTTAATAAATGTATGGAAGAGGGTAAGGTACCTAGGGATTGGCAGAGAGCATGCATAGTTCCTTTGTAGAAAGGCAAAGGGGACAAAAGAGAGTACGAAAATTATAGGGGGATAAGTCTGTTGAGTATACCTGGTAAAGTGTATGGTAGAGTTATTATTGAAAGAATTAAGAGTAAGACGGAGAATAGGATAGCAGATGAACAGGAGGCTTTAGGAAAGGTAGGGGGTGTGTGGACCAGGTGTTTACAGTGAAACATTTTAAGTGAACAGTATTTAGATAAGGCTAAAGAGGTCTTTGTGGCATTTATGGATTTGGAAAAGGCGTATGACAGGGTGGATAGGGGGGCAATGCGGCAGATGTTGAAGGTGTATGGTGTAGGAGGTAGGTTACTGAAAGCAGTGAAGAGTTTTAACGAGGATAGTAAGGCTCAAGTTAGAGTATGTAGGAAAGAGGGAGATTATTTCCAGTAAAAGTAGGCCTTAGACAAAGATGTGTGATGTCACCGTGGTTGTTTAATATATTTATAGATGGGGTTGTAAGAGAAGTAAATGCGAGGGTCTTGGCAAGAGGCGTGGAGTTAAAAGATAAAGAATCACACATAAAGTGGGAGTTGTCACAGTTGCTCTTTGCTGATGACTGTGCTCTTGGGAGATTCTGAAGAGAAGTTGCAGAGGTTGGTGGATGAATTTGGTAGGGTATGCAAAAGAAGAAAATTAAAAGTGAATACAGGAAAGAGTAAGGTTATGAGGATAACAAAAAGATTAGGTGATGAAAGATTGGACATCAGATTGGAGGGAGAGAGATATGGAGGAGGTGAATGTATTCAGATATTTGGGAGTGGACGTGTCAGCGGAAGGGTCTATGAAAGATGAGGTGAGTCATAGAATTGATGAGGGGAAAAGGGTGAGCGTTGCACTTGGGAGACTGTGGAGACAAAGAACTTTGTCCTTGGAGGCAAAGAGGGGAATGTATGAGAGTATAGTTTTACCAATGCTCTTATATGGGTGTGAAGCATGGGTGATGAATGTTGCAGCGAGGAGAAGGCTGGAGGCAGTGGAGATGTCATGTCTGAGGGCAATGTGTGGTGTGAATATAGTGCAGAGAATTCGTAGTTTGGAAGTTAGGAGGAGGTGGGGGATTACCAAAATTGTTGTCCAGAGGGCTGAGGAAGGGTTGTTGAGGTGGTTCGGACATGTAGAGAATGGAGCGAAACAGAATGACTTCAAGGTGTATCAGTCTGTAGTGGAAGGAAGGCGGGGTAGGGGTCGGCCTAGGAAAGGTTGGAGGGAGGGGGTAAAGGAGGTTTTGTGTGCGAGGACTTGGACTTCCGGCAGGCATGCGTGAGTGTGTTTGATAGGAGTGAATGGAGACAAATGGTTTTCAATACTTGACGTGCTGTTGGAGTGTGAGCAAAGTAACATTTATGAAGGGATTCAGGGAAACCGGCAGGCCGAACTTGAGTCCTGGAGATGGGAAGTACAGTGCCTGCACTCTGAAGGAGGGGTGTTAATGTTGCAGTTTAAAAACTGTAGTGTAAAGCACCCTTCTGGCAAGACAGTGATGGAGTGAATGATGGTGAAAGTTTTCTTTTTCTGGCCACCCTGCCTTGGTGGGAATCGGCCAGTGTGTTAAAAAAAAAAAAAAAAATTGTATACTAATGTGTACCTGTACCTAAGTATGCTTCACTCAGGGCATCATTTCTTCTAAAAATGGTGTTTACATGAGAATGGGAGTGTTTCTCTATTTATTCTACTGTATCAATGTGGAGACAACTGGTACACAATGTAAAGTGACGAAAACCAGACACGTTCGTCTGGTCTGTTTACATTATGTGTAGGTGGGGTGGGTAGGCTGCCCTGGCTGGATTCCATACTTCCAAACCTGACTTCCTACAAATAAAACTTGCCTCTCACCCTACATTAACGGTTTGGGGGTCGGTCACACACAAGTAAATCATTGCAGGAAAGGTTGGTCACATACTTGTACACCTAATTCTAGCACCTTCAAATCTGGTTGAAGAAAGCTGGCAAGCCTACATATGAAAGAATGGGCCTGTGTGGTCAGTGTGTGCAGTATAAAAAAATCCTGAAGCACACTGTGAATGAGAAGAAAAAAAAACTTACACTGTGTTTTTGGCTTAACCCTTTCAGGGTTTCGACCGACTATAGTACGGCTTACGCACCAGGGTTTTTGACGTACTATTACGCCTAAATTCAAGCGCCCTCAAATCTAGTGAGAGAAAGCTGGTAGGCCTACATATGAAAGAATGGGTCTGTGGTCAGTGTGCACAGTATAAAAAAAATCCTGCAGCACACAGTGCGTGTTTTTGGATTAAAACAGCGACTTTGCACTGTATTTTCGTATGGTATTTATTGTTGTAGTCTAGTTTTCCTGGTCTTCTTTTATAGAATGAAAGATATATTACAGAAATTGAGATGATTTTGACTGGTTTTACAATGAAAAGTGCCTTGAAATTGAGCTCAAAGTAACAGAAATGTTCGATTTTTACCAAAGTTCAAAAGTAAACAAATCATGCCAAGCGTCCAATACACATCAACTGATGAGTCTAATATTCTTTCACAAGTGCTCTGATATTACTTATACCATTTCTACACTAATGCAGTAGTCTGCATAACAGTAAATTTCTATTTTTTTGTAAGAATAAAAATTCATCGTGGAAAGCCTAAGAAACATGGAGGGGCCTGGGGATGTGACTAATGAACAGAGAACTTTATTTTAGTGCCAGGAATGTTTTTCGTGTTTATTCTGGACCCTATTCAAAAATTGGCATCATTTGAAATTTGTGTGAAATTGGCAAAAATTGCTAATTCTGACTACTTTATTGGATAGTTGAAATCCGTAAATGGGTGTTTTTTTGTATTCACTTGATAGAAAAAAATGGAGGTTCTAGTGAAATAGTTATGATTTTTGTCGACTAGTACACTGGAATTGGCCGAAAATAGGGCTCAAAGTGGGCAAATCGCTGATGCGTAAACATCGTCGAGACCGTTAACTTCGCAAGAGCATAATTCCGTAAGCTTTCCATCAAATTTCATACTTTTGGTGTCATTATGATTGGGAAAAGATTCTCTATCTTTTCATAAGAAAAAATATTTTTTTTTAAATTGGCAACCCTGAGAACAAGTCTCGGAGAGGGCCTGGGACCTCGAAAGGGTTAAAACAGCGACTTTCTAGTGTATTTTCGTATGGTATTTATGGTTGTATTCTCGTTTCCTTGGTCTCATTTGACAGAATGGAAGATATATTGCAGAATTAGAGATGATTTTGATTGGTTTCACGATTACAGTGCCTTGAAATTGAGCTCAAATTAGCGGAAATGATCGATTTTTGCCGATGTTCAAGAGTAAACAAATCAAGCCACGTGTCCAGTACACATCAACTGGCGAGTCTAATGTATTCTTTCACAAGCGCACTGATATCATTTATACCATTTTTACAATGATGCAGTAGTATACATAACAGAAAACCTTCTATTTTCTGTGAGAATAAAAATTCAAAAAGGAAATCAAAAGTAATGTAAGAGGGGCCTACAGACATGACTAATGAACAGATAAAATGTTATTTTAGTGCCATGAATGTCTGTCTTGTTTATTCTAGACCCTATTTCGAAATTGGCATCTTTTGAAATTTGTTTGAAATTGTCCAAATTGCCAATTTCTGACCACTTTATTGGTTAGTTGAAATCGGTAAATGGGCGGATTCTTGTACTCAATTGATAGAACAAAAGGAGTTCTAGAGAAATAGCTATGATTTTAGTCAGCTGCAACATTGGAATTGGCCAAAAATAGGGCTCAAAGTGGGTGAAATCGCTCAATTTGAGACCGCTAACTTTGTGAGAACATAATTCCATAAGTTTTCCATCAATTTCATACTTTTGCTGTCATTATGATCAGAAAAAGATTATCATTTCATAAGAAAATTTTTTTTATTTTTTTTCGAAAAATTTTTTGACCCTGAGAATGAGTTTGGGAGAGGGCCTCTCGACCCTCAAAGGGTTAAGACTACAAATATTATAAGGTAATTAATGAATGTACTGTACTGTATATGTATTTATTACTCTGGGGAGCTTTAATTAAATGTAGTATATTACGTGTGGGTGGGGAGGGCTGACCTGGATGGCTACCATACCTCCCAAACCTGACTTCCTACAAATTAAACTCGCCTCTCACCCGACATTAAGACTACGTACAAATATTTTAAGGTAAGTAATGGGTGTACTGTGTGTGCACTTTACTTTTTATTGTTTTTAATGCCTAGTTCTATTGCTAACGTAATATATGTTAGTGTCAACATGTTACCTGCTTTCTGGTGATGTCTGCTTTCCGGCAGTAGCCTGGAACCTAACCTGCCATATAAGTGGGGCCCTACTGTACAGTATACACATCATATCCAGGTTCCTCATATTTTTAACCTTGATTATGCAAATGAAGAGAAGCAGAGGGTATATAAATAGTAGTGCTAATTTCTCATGGACAGGTGCAGAACCTCTAAACACGACTCATTTATCACAACATAAAAGTTTAACAACCAATCTTATATACAATGTATACACACTAGGCATTATATTCACATTAAATTTAGCTTCCTCTCTATAACCCTGATTATGCATATGGAAGGAGCCAAAGGACATACAAAGGGGTACTGTCTTTGATACGGTTATATTACATACCAGATCATCATTGTTTGTGAAAATGAGGTCCAGCATATTTTCTAGTCTTGTAGGCTCAAATATTTGCTGGTTTAAGGTGAATTTGGTGCAGAGATTTAATAGCTCATGTGTGTGTAAATTTTCATCTAAGCTGCCTCCTGGGGTGATCTCTGCTACAATATTATTTGCTACACTCCTCCATTTTAGGTGTCTCAAGTTGAAATCTCCCAGTAGCAATATGTTCGGGGAAGGAGTTGGGAGGTTTTCCAGACAGTGGTCAATTTTCAAACACTGTTCCTGGAATTGCCGGGAAGTTGCATCCGGAGGCTTGTATACAACAATGACAAGGTTTTGGTTTTCTATCTTTACCGCCAAAGCTTCAACTACATCATTTGAGGTTTTTAGTAGTTCTGAGGAAATGAACGACTCTGTGACCTACAAGCCAACCCACCCTTGTTGCCTGTTTAGTCTGTTGCATCTGAATAGGTTATAACCTGGAATCCATATTTCATTGCCAAAATGATCCTTTATGTGGGTCTCTGTGAAAGCTGCAAACACTGTATTTGACTCTGTGAGCAGTCCCTTGATGTAAGGAATTTTGTTGTTTGTTGATGGCTTTAGACCCTGTATGTTTGCAAAGACAAATGATGTTATACTGATGGAGTTTAGGGAGGTTTTATTTGCTGGCTCTAATATCTGTTGTTCTGGAGTAGAGGCCAATGACTGTGCCTCTGCTCCAGAAGTGTTTTCAGTTTGTGTAAGATTTGTCATTTCTTGTCAGTCTTTTTTCCTTCCTGGCACTAAAAAACCTCCTTCTCTGGAGAGGTTATGGCTCCCCTCTTTTGTTTCCCATAATCTGGCTGGTCTGTGTCTTCTTGTCCCCTTTAGTTACTGCTCATGGCTGTATTAATCTTATGTCATGATAGGTTTTTTTTTACTGCTGCCACCAAATGCATCCAGGATGAATATCTTGTAGAGTAATAATAATAATCAACAGAGGTGAGTCTTGGGATTTATTGCTGGGGGACTGATTGCCTTATCTTTTGTGTGGTTCTGCTGTCTTCTAGTTGTGTCCTGGAATCTGTGTTGATGGGGCCACTGGATGGTGAGGCATCTACAATGGGGATGACCGAGTGTTGCATATGTGTCTTAGCTTTCATCTTGTCGGTATTGTATACCTTTCTTGCACAACTAGTTCTTGGTAATGAAAATAACCCTCAAAGTTATAAACTAGGTGAAGCAGAGCTTGACCATACATAATGTGAAAAAGATTTGAGAGTCATAGTAAGTAGAAATCTAAAGCCAAGACAGCAGTGCGTAAGTGTGCACAATGAGGCTAACAGATTACTAGGATTTATTTCAAGAAGCATTAGTAACAGAAGTCCAAAAGTTATTTTACAGCTCTATACATCACTAGTGATACCTCATTTGGATTATGCTGCTCAGTTTTGGTTTCCTCACTATAGGATGGTTATAGACTCATTGGAGAACATACAGGGAAGAATGACTAAAATGATTTACTGCATAAGGAATCTCCCATATGAAGATAGACTTAGAGCCTTGAATCTCCACTCTCTGGAGAGACGTAGAATGAGGGGAGATATCATCGAAGTGTATAAGTGGATGATGGGCATAAACAAAGGTGATGTTAATAAAGTACTGAGGGTGTCGAACTGGGTAAGAACCAGACATTATGGATTTAAGTTGAATAAATTTAGATTTAGAAAGGACATAGGTAAGTACTGGTTTTTGAACAGAGCTGTGGATGCATGGAACAATCTTCCGAGTAGGATGATTGAAGGTAGGACCCTGGGTAGCTTTAAAAAGAGATTGGACAAATATATGAGTGGGAGGGGCCGAGTTTGATTCGTGTCATGGGTAAGGGAGCAAATTCTTGGGTAGGGGTGGTTCTGACAAGGACCTGCCTTGTATGGGCCAGTAGGCCTTCTGCAGTGTTCTTCCATTCTTTTGTTCTTATGGTATAGTGCAGTGTGGTTGCTAGCTCATGCCAAGGCCTAGGGCTTGCGTGAGAGAACTGGGACGGGGAGGGGGTGTTTTGCTGGTGTTATGTCTGGAGCATTAGTATGGAGGAAACAGGGTCATGCCCAGCCAGCTCTAGGTTTGAACTCAGCCCATCTGATGGCAGTACAAGGCCTAGGTGATGTGGCATGGCACTAAATACAAGCCTGACAGGGGTTACAAATGAGATATTTCACTGTAAAAGTAGTCATAAAAATGAATCACATTGTCACACATGCTACATTCATGTATTTTTCATTTGATGATTTGCGGTTAAAAAGTGCATACTTTTTGCAGGTTCGTGTAACCAAACCAATAAACTGGTCGCTAGCCAATTTCCACATAAATGGCCTTCAACAAAGTATTCATTACCTGGCTGCCAGGCAGAATGCCAGTGATTTTATTGGCATTATCAAGTCACCAATCAGTCAGATCGTCTCTGATATTTTCCTATTGTTGTGGGTCACATCCTGGGGACAAGATTAAAGGACTTCAATGGAAATCAGACAAGTCTACAGTGATACACTGACTTTAAAGGGTTATCCTGGGTAGCTAACTCTCTGGGTGAAATATCTGAAAATCTGGTTGTCCTGTGGCCCAGTCGATAGCACACTTAACTCACATACTGAGTGCCAATGGTTTGATTCCTGGCACGGGTGGAAACAGTGGGCATGTTTCCTGACACTTACTGTCCCTGTTCACCTAGCAGTAAATAGAGACCTGGGTATTAGTCGACTAGTGTGGGTCGCATCCTGCGGGGACAAAATTAAAAAGGACCCCAATGAGTAAGAGTGTGTCCTCAATGAGGCAATGACTTGATTGAGTTATCGTGGGTGTCACCCTATGGATTAAAAATCCGAACAAAATCTTATTAACAGAGCCCGGAATTGTAAATAATCAGGTTTGAATTCAAGGAAGAGGTCAATTCATATTCCTTGGATCAAGAGCTCTTCGCCAGCATCAAAGGGGCCCCCGTGAATAAACAATTAAAAAACAAAAACATTGGATATTAGCCTCAGGACATCCGTACCTCTCACCTTGTCTAAGGACACAGTATTCTATAAGTGCTAGTAGAAAAAAAATTACATACATACTTTGAGTTTGCCGTCAATACAGGCTTGATGCGCACCAAAAGCCCCCAGTCTGTCTGAACCGCGTGGATAGCTTCAGGAAAACCCGCCGCCTCATGGTCATCACCAACCTCCATGTTGTCTTATTGTTGGGTTACTAAGGGCCACTGACAGCTTCCACAGTGTCGAGTCTTGCTGTCCCATGTACGGAGAAGATACTGTCCAAGGCTGGACGATGAAAGAAAAGGGAACGCGAGTCCCTTTGTAAATAGAAACAGAAACTAGAAGTTTCCAAATATACCAGGTTGACCCCCTTCACCAAGCCCCATCAGAGCTGGAAGCCCATACTTCACCTGACTTCAGTAACCGAATTCCCACCAAGACCGTTAAAGGACCCCAATGGAAATAAGTCACTCTGACTTTTTTGGGTTATCCTAGGTTCTCTACACATATGCTGCTATGTATGATAATTCTATGTAACTGTATTTGTGTATACCTGAATAAACTTACTTACTTACTAATGAATTATCCGCAGTGGCAAAATGGAGGTGGATAAAATTAA